AAGAAAGGAGTACCAATTATGTTGTTAAGAAACATTGATCAAACATCTGGGTTGTGTAATGGTACAAGACTAATAGTTGAAGAGTTGCGAAGAAACGTTATCGGTGCAATTGTTGTATCAGGAAATAATGCCGGTGAGAAAGTTTACATGCCAAGAGTGAATTTGGTACCGTCAGATCCTGGATTGCCATTTAAGTTTCAAAGAAGACAATTTCCAATATCTTTATGTTTTGCTATGACAATAAATAAGAGTCAAGGCCAAACATTGTCATTTGTTGGATTATTCTTGACCAAATCGGTATTCACTCACGGTCAACTTTATGTTGCAGTTTCACGAGTGAAAACCAAGAAAGGATTGAAAGTGTTAGTTTTAGATGACAGTGGTAACCCTAGCAATTGCACCAAGAATGTGGTTTACCCTGAAGTTTTTCAAAAAATTTGGATTTAATTAATACATTTATACGTTTGATTCCAATTTTGTTTCCCATTAAATTTAGTTATCATACTCTGTTTGTGTTGTATCATTTATTAAAATTCTAACATTCTCTATTATATTTATCTTCATTTTTTAATTATGTACTTAAAACAAACATTTAAAAGAGTTAAAAATAACATGCGTTCGAAAAAGGGATAATAAAAAAGATACTCACAGATCAAAAAGTAAAAAAACTTATCGACGCCTGAGAGATTCGAACTCTCGCGGGGAAACCCCATGTACTTAGCAGGCACACGCCTTAACCACTCGGCCAAAGCGTCTTCTGCTTTTCGTTCTTTGTTTTCTTTATTTATATAAATCACGCAACGAGTTTGCACATGCTTTGGAAAATTTTTGTATTAAAAAACAAAAATTAGCTTCCGTGGAAAATGAAGAGTAAATTAGAGGGTAAAAGAAACAATTCTACGTATAATTTTTTTTTTTTAAAAAAGTATTTGGTTTACATAAAAAATGGATAAAAGAAAATTACGTTAGGTAGTGTTTGGCAACTAGCATTTCATTTCAAATCATGCATTTCAATTCCAAAATTTAAAATCTTGAAATTCAAATGACAAGGGGAGGAGCATAGATTTCAAATTAAGCTTTGTTTTGAATGAGAAAAAATTTGACTTAAATCCAAATTCAAATTTTTTAAGTTTCTCAAACATGGGATTTGAGCCAAATCCGAATTTGAAATCCAAATCCATGTTCCCAAACATACCATTAGAGAACTCATCATATATAAAGTTTCTCTTTTCATTTGTAAAAAAAATGCAGTTATGTACGGAGTATTTTTCTGATATAAAGTAATTATTTTATACTTTCCTTATTTAATCATTCCTTCTCATTTCTTTTTGTTGAAGAGGTATTTAATACTTTCATTCCTAAAAAATCATTTTATATGAAAAATGGTATAGAGTTAAAAAATATGAATTACATATTAAAATACTACATCAAAAGATCTACAAAACTGTAGTGTTAATAATACTCGAGTGATGTTTCAGACCTGGTCGAACGGTAATTTTTTTAATACAATTTATATGAAAAGTGGGATAAATTTATTATAAAAAATTATACATTAAAAATATGTACAAAACAAGAGCTGCCCACAATATTGAATTTAAGAGTAATTTCTAAAATGGTCCTTTCTATTAAGGTGTTTTCTCAAATTAGCTCACAATAAATAATACGTAATTATTAATGTGGTACTTTATAATTGAGATACATTTCATAGTAGTCCTTTCCTTTATCAAAAATATGCATTAGATGACACTCAAATAGAAAGTATTTTGATATTTTAATCATCGAGATTAAAGTATATTCTCGAAATGCTCTTTTATAATTAAATATTTTTCCAAATTGATAATTTCTAAGTAAATATTTTCTGAAAATGAAGTCCATGAGCCTACTTGGGGTGCGTCTGTTCCTCTAGCAGCCATCCACTTGAAGTACTATTTTGAGGACTTATTCGGAATTTAGATGATAGAAAATACAAAGTATCTTCTATTTAACTATCATTTAATAGACATTTTTCAAATGACTATTTAGAGATTAAATCTCAATTACAAAGATTATGTGAATAAGTACTCCCCTGTTCCAAATCATAGTGTCTGTTTCGGTTTACGATGTTTAACTGAAACTATTTTCAAATCATTTTATATGACAAATGGTATAGAGTTAAAAAATAAAAATTACATATAAAAATACTACATCAAAAGATCTACAAAACTAGTAATAACAATAATACTTTATTTTATCAAATTGGTAACGAGAATAGAGAAAAAAGTGAATAAAAATTGACCTTGTAAATAGTAAACATGCACTACAAATTGGGAGGAGGAAGAATTATTTATTTAAGACTAATTTTAGAAAACATTTTCTTAGATAGGATTGTTTTGAAAATTGCTCTTAATTTTATTAGATGAGTCATGTGTAGGGTGGGGTATGCTTCAAACTTCGGTTGGTTTACACTATACAGTTACACCTTCTCGGGAGTCTTTTGCAGTCTGGGTCAAAAGCTAGCTCTTCTTAGTCTATTTCATTTGCAGGCCCAATCATTGGCAATCCATATTATTTGGGCCTTGCAAAGGGTATTGTTAACAAATTTAAATTCACCTGTCACTTCATATTTATTCATAACATTTAAATATAAACACTGCTACTTAAATTACAATGGCCATTTATCATTTCAATCCCGACATCTCCTTCCACATTCAATCGTCTTTTATACCGCAAATCTTTGCTTTAATCCGCCCAAACTCTTTTTGTTTTTTTGGCAGACAATCACGTAACTTAGGCCACTATCCAAAGAGGATAAATTTGGTAATCGATTCACATTGCAGCGAGCTCTGACCCGAGACTCCAGACTACTGCGATCGGGCTTCTAACCCGGTGCGCCGCATCGGCCCATTCAATCGATCCGAACGACGACGACGGTTTGACCCCGTTGAATCCAACACTACTCTTGAATGTGATTTCGTACGGCAACGTATTGTGCTCCTCGTCAAACGCGAGCTTGGTGGGCGACACGCTCACCTCCACGCCCGGCGGGGCATTCACTTTTACCGCGTAGACGACGTCCTTCTCGCTCCCTACGTTAGTGAGTGACCTCTTGTACTTTACCTCGCTTTTATTACCACGAAAAATAACGGAGAAGGATGGGTAGTTCAGAGATCCGGGCGTTCCCAGATCCCGTGTGCTGCAATCCACTGAAGTGTTGCCCTTTACGAACACCGAGATTCTTTTGTTGTCGTACCCAATGGAGCACAAAAAGTCCACGTAATCGCTCACGGCCAGATCGTAAACCAAACCGGGATTAAGTGCCCGGTTTGGATCCACGTGCCCGGACCCGTAGACAAACGGGTTTGATTCTTTGCCAGTGGCAAGGTCGGTAAAATTGCTGCCGGAATTGTCCAGATTATAAGTGGTTGTCATGAGGGCGGATTTAATGGCGGATGGGGTCCACTCCGGATGGGCCTTCCGAAGCAGAGCAGCCAATCCGCTTGCGTGGGGACACGACATGGAGGTGCCGGAGATGATGTTGAACTCCACTCTTCTCCGGTCGATATCCAGATCGGCCGGCCCTACCGCGCCGGTCCAGCCGGCGAGAATGTTCACTCCGGGTGCAATGACATCCGGTTTAAGGATTTCAGGTGTCACGTGGTTCGGTCCACGGCTTGAGAAAGCGGCAACACGCGGCGCCGGCGGTGAGGTTCCGATCACGGTTCCGCGGGATGAGATTGTGGCAGTGGGGGACGGATCGGATCTCACGTAGGTCCGTATTTCGTCTCCGGCGGTTACACCGACCATTGACGCCGGAATTAGATGCGCGTCGGCCACAAGCTCTTCGCCTGAATCGGCCAGGTTAGCAAGTATCATTCCGGCGCCTCCGGCGTCCTTCACTGCTCCGCCTTTTGCGATTCTGGCATTTCCTCCTCGATCGCACAGCACGATCTTCCCGGTGACCTTTGAGGTGTTAAGTTCACCGGAATAACAGTACTTGCTTCCGCAATCACCGCCGTAGACTACAGGAAGTTTGCTTTCCCCTAGAGATTCACCGGAGTACAGCGAGACGCCACTGAATATCCTGCCATCACCTAATATCACGTCGGCTGGGAACTCACGATCGATAGTGGAAGCACCGACGGTGAGAATCCAAGGCGCAATGTTCACCGCCGTAGACGGGCTGGGGCCGGAATTTCCGGCAGAGCAGGAGACGAGAACGCCGTGCGCCGCCGCACCAAAAGCACCAATTGCAATGGAATCACGATCGTAGGGAGAAGCGTAGCCGGATGATCCAACGGACAGGGAAATCAAGTGAACTCCATCTTCCACAGCTTGATCCATGGCAGCGAGTATATCGGAATCGTAACAGCCTGAGCTCCAGCAGATTTTGTAAGCCGCAATTCTCGCCTTAACAGCCATTCCTCTGGCTTCACCCCGCGCATACTCGAACAGACTCGCATTCGCCACCACCGATCCAGCTGCTGTGGAGGCTGTGTGCGTGCCGTGGCCTTCAGTGTCTCTCGGGGATTTTGATTCTTCCGATTCGTCCATCGGCCTTCCGAGAGCAGCTTCATAGCCTCTGTAAAAAGTACGAGCGCCTATGATTTTCCGATTGCACGAACCTTCGGGAAAATCAGGACCGACCTCGCATTTCCCCTTCCAGCCTGAAGGGACAGAAGAGAGTCCTTCGTCGGAGAAGCTCGGTCGCTCCGGCCAGATCCCGGTGTCCAGAACCCCCACTATGACATCGTCCGCGTATTCTGCGTTGGGCCAGATCCCAAATGACTGCGACAGCCCCAAAAACTGAGGCGTGTGCGTCGTGTGGACGCGGCGGACTTGATCCGGCAGGACGGAGATCACGCCGGGAACGTTCTGCAGCTCACTCGCCTGGAATCGCGTCAGCCGAGCAGAGAACCCGTGCGCGGCGCGCCCGTAGGTGTACAAGAGCTCGGACCGGCGGCGGGAGAGCGGAGAAAGTCTCCGGACGATGGAAGAAAACCAGCCCTCGTGAGTAGAGAAAACGCCAGGCTTCTCGGACTTCGCCACGTGGACGATAAACGTCTCCTGAAGCTCCTCCGATGAAACGGCGAGCCGGAAGCAGAGGAACAATAGGAAGAATCTGTGAGCTGCGGCGGCCATGGCGGAGAGATCTGTGGACTGAATATTCAGTGACGAGGGGAGGAAGAAGATAAATGGGCGAAGCTAATATTGACGGGCGGCTGTGATTGGGACACGTGGACGATGGATATTGGTTGCTTTGATAGATATATACACTCCGTATTTCGTGGCGTGGTCGTTTGCTCAGATGCTTGGAAGGAAGCTATGGCCATTGGGTTTTTTGGCAGTTGGCACCCACCGCACTTTGGGTTGGTGGTTGAATGTAGTCTACATTTTGGCCAAAGGGGGGAAGAAACAAATTGGATTGAAGAGTAAACTACATTCTATCTTGTTCTTTTAAGATACATTTTCATGATTAGAAGGATACTTATCCAAACAAAAAAATGAGCATCATTCTCGAAAGCCCCACAAAATCGGCCGAACAGTCACTCAAAGGAAGGCTTTCTTTGGTAACAGCATTTTTTATTAGCGTTAGCGTTTTGAATAAAATTTTAACGGTGCAGATTAATTCTGAAAACGCTAACGCTAAAGGCTAAACTTTTTCAAAACGCTAACGCTAATCTCTGACACTGATACCAAACAGAGCCGAAGTAAATTAGACTTTAATCGCAATTTAATGACATATAGTGGAATCTGCACCTAGTACTTGTAGAGACTCTATCCTTATCATAGTTACCTCCCAGCACAGTTGCCATTAATCAAACTCGGATTTTACTCCTTTGACACCCCTTGCCAACCGAACTTATCCATAATCTCCAAAGCTGCCCCAAATTTTTGAAAGCCAAAAACTTGTTAGTTGTTTCCAACTCATCCATAAAGGACCACTTCCTTATCAAACCATAAATCATCTACTTACGATTTAGTACTACTCCGGTTTGGGTAAATTTCCCACATAATTGCCACTCAAATCTAAATCCGGTTTCGGGTTTATTCAATCAATCAATACCATGTTCTGTTCAAGTGATTAAACATAACTTATTACACCTCAAATACAATACTTTAATCAAATCACCAACTAAAAAAATATGAATGAAGTGTCTAATTACTCCTATCTGTGTGTATATACAAAGTTCCAAAACCTCTATAATTGATGTCTCCATCCTCATAAAAGTTTGTGTATCGTTTCGGGGGAAGGACATCGCGTGTTTCCAGAACTCTCCTTTTTCGCATCGTTGTCGTCGTCTCCATCAAGCTTTTTAATCAGCTTCTCAATTTGCCGTCTATAAACAGGCATGAAATGATCACTGATCATGGTCTGGGACAGCCTTATTTTGCTATACAATGTCCTGGGGGTGAGAAATATCCCGAGTCCCGAATCCTCGGGCCCACCTACATCTTCCCCGCCGTCTTCTTCATTGTCGTCCTCTGAAGCATTGCTCGCATCATCACTGTGCTGTTGATCGTCAGGCGCGAGGGTCACTATGTGCATTATCCTTCCGGGAGGGAAGAATCTGTGTGCCTCCTTGGTGTCCGGAACAGAAGATTCGCTTTCTGCCGAGCTCTGGCCCACCTCGGCAATGGCAGCTGCTTCTTCTTCCCTGATCTCCTTTACCGTACCGGTCCCACCTCCGTCCTTGTCGTACAGCTCCTGCTCTAGCTGTTGCCACATCTGCACCTCCGTCATGTGGTCCTGCTGTCCTCGAGCAGCAATGACATCACCATTCTCCTCAAAATCATCATCAGCAGCATCATCATCCAAATTCTTTTGAATGCTTATTTCAGTGCCTGAATCCCATGAAGATACAGGAAGTTCCTCCACTTCAGTGATGCATGAGATCCCTCCAATCAAAGGTTCAGAAGCTGCTTTTCTACTTGAAGAAGATTCCGAGGCTTCGTGTTCATTATTATTATTATTATTAGAGTTGTTATTAAAAGTGGTTGAGGGTCGTCGCCGAGGGCCGACGCACGACCACGATGACAAACGCATGGCGGGACCCGATAGTGCTGCATGTGCCATGCTTTGAGCCCTCCTCATAACAACCTGTGATTACAAAGTGCCGTTTGGCAACAGCTTTAACCTTTACCTTTAGCATTATGAAAAGTTATCTAATGACAACGTTTAGCTTATGTCTTTTCAAGGTTAATCTGGCCATTAAAAATTATCGAAAATACTAAAGCTAATTGATTTTTTTTCTCAAACGAGGCCAAAGTGGCGCTCAACACAATACGTGGGCACATGCTATTTGGTCTGCAACAAGTTATTCATGCTCAGTGTATCGTGAAACAATGTTACCTGAGTGCCGCTAGAGACAGGACGTAAAATAGCTCCAGCACCGGCCACCTTGGCTTTGGCAGTGGCAATGGATGGGAGACGAGAACCAATGGCTGAAGCAGAACGATATACAGTACTGAGAATTCTTGTGTGCTCTATCTGATTCCTTAGATCATTCAACCACGCAGATGCTGTCACCTAAAATTTCCAAACACTCCCATTCAGAAACCATACATAAATTATGCTCCCTCTGTCCATATTTTAACTTCATTCTTTCCTTTTTTGCCCGTCTCAAAATTATAGGGTATCTTCTTTCTTTTCAGGGTATGATATTTTTTCTGTACATGGTAAATCTCAGCTGAATAATTTTCACTTTCCTAATGGATTGAATGAGTAAATAAAAACCATCATTTGGGATTTTAATAAAGAAAGAACTTTACCTCTGCACGCAAATCATCCACTGATGCAGCTGAAAAAGTGGGCACCAAATCAGCTCCATTTATAACTGAGGTAATGAATTCAGTTCCTGATTCAGCCAATTCCCATGTCATACAAGCCGCTGCAAAGGGAAACTAGTTTAATAGTTACAAACTCAATATGCTAAAGAAAGATCAGACAAGAATAGAGAGATATATAAGGAACACGAAATTTGGGGAACAAAAAAACACAATATCGTATCAAATTTGGATATATAGACTAGTAAATTAAAAAATAAGAAGAAAACACAAACTTTTTAGTTTTCTTTGTAATTTCCAAGGTAAAAAACATCAAAAGACTTTTCCTAGGCATTTTTGCCAACCATTTCCACGTTCTAAAAATAGCTATATGCCCATAATATAGTCCGTGTTTTACTTCATTGAATACAAAATAATAAGAAATCAATAGCAGTTAAATATACCTGGAGCAAATGTTACACATGTTGATCTTGATAGTTCCTTTTGTTCACGTAGCACATAAGTTAAGAGGGCAGCAGTCCCTCCACCCAATGAATGCCCAACAATCTAAGGCAGCCAAACAAATTGAATCAATCACAGAATATCTGACAGCCTAATTAAATGGAAACAAGCAGCATAGCATTATGATAAACACGGTCCACTCATGATTTACCCACCTAACTTCCCCAATGAAAACAATTCTAGATTACAATAAGATAGGACTACAAGAGACATATTGTATATAGACTCAAAAGGGTGGGAAACTTGCAACTAATCCAATTTTTAGGCCGATTAGGAAGGCACATAATGCTGGGGTGTGTGATTGTGGTGGTGGTGGGGGGGGGGTACTGGATATGAATGAAAATATAGAGAGAATGAGAGGAAAAAAGTAAACATTCATTGATATACCTTAGGAGTAAAGGGAAAGCTCTACAAAACAGCTACTCAACTAGGATTGTTATGGAATTGAGCGGTGAGCTCCTAAAGGGTATCAAACTATGAAAATATAGATAACTGAAATGTGTGTGTTGTGATGGATGTGTGTGCATACTACAATTGATAGGAAAACACGAGATCATCCAAAAGAAGGTAGAAATAGCATCTATTGAAGATAAAATGATAGAGAAATGACGGGCGGTTTGGACCCATATAGAGAAGGCAAAGGGTAAACTGATGCAGCAGTTAGAAGACTTAGGTGGCGGGGATAAATTCTGCAAAAGAGGAAGAAGGGGATCAAAAAAGACTGGGGGGTGGTGGTGATTAGGAGTGATTTGTCTTATCTGAATTTAGACATGAGTGCGTCTATTCATAGAACATGATTCTCTTTCTGGTTCATGTAACCGAGCCCAAGTTACTGAGGATAAGGCTAAGTTGGTTTTATTTTAACTCATTTATTTCTCAATTTGTATCATATGAAGACTAAGAAATCTAAGCACATGAAGAAAAAATGAAAATGTTTCATTCCCCTTAGTATTTTCTATGGTGAAAGCAAACACAAGATAATGACTTTCCATGGCATTTTTTACCTTTGCCTAGCATTTTCCGGGGCCAAATAGCTCCATTGCCCCCTGTGGTTTGGAGAATTGGCACCAATACCCCCTCTGTTTTCTAAACTTATTTTCTAAAGTCCCCGGGGACTTTAAGAATAAGTTTTGAAAATAGGGGGTATTGGTGCCTATTTTCTAAACCACGGGGGGTACTGGTACTATTTGGCCCATTTTCTGGATTCAAAACATACCCTTAGCAACACACACTTTCGATAAGAAAACTGGAGGAGAGATGTTAATCAAAAGCAAAGTGGGATGGCAATATGGCCCAAAAAGTGGCAGAAGATACCTTAATTTTGTAATCGGGATAGCTGCCAAGTGCACTTATAAGGCTGGGAGTCGAAAGCTTAGCAATCCATCGAGCAGCCGCAACCATTCCACAGTGTGCATAACCTAAAACCAAATTGCTTACTCCCCCCTCGTGTACCACAGAATGATGAAATGGAACCACTGCCCCAGTCGCAGCTGTCAATGTATCCTTCACACTATGAGTACCACGGATTAATAGGAGGAAAGATTTTGAACTGTGGTCAACCAATATTGTAAATGCCGGCTTCAGAATCTGTAGAATTGTTTTGCAGTTTAGTTTTAAGAAAAAGACAACTATTGATCATTCTGCATAACCTTAGACACAGTGTTCATACACCAAAAGAAAACAACCTTGTCTAATAAATGACAAAATATGATACTCCCTTCATCCCATAGTATTTGTCCAGTATTCCTTGTTTAGCCGTCGTGCAATATTTGTCCACTTTCCTTTTATAGTAAAGAAAAATTAAAGAATTGTCTAATTTACCCTCACCCCCTTCTACAATTCATCTTCTTCAAGTTCACATCTTCAACTTCAAATCCTTTAATCTCACCTTCAATCGACCTTACTCTATGTATAGCTTCAACCATCTGATGCCAGCAGGTTGCCCTCCACTGGAATATCTTTTTCACCATTGTCGGTTTTTTTAAGAGCAGATGGTGGGGACGTTGCAGGATGTAGAAGCGGTGGAGATGTTTTCAACCGACATTCATAGCCAATGCTAGCCGGTGCAAGATGACTCGATCTATATGGCTTTGTACAAGTCGGCGGTGATTTCTATCGGCGGCATTCATCCATAGTCGAGTCTGAAGATGGAGACAGTAGCGATGTTGCAAGATGTGGATCCCATCATCGGATCTCATCAATTAGATGAGATGGCACCCCAAATTTATCTCTCGTTCTTGATCTGTTTTCTATTTCTCTGTAATCACTCTCAGGGTGGTTGTTGTGGAAGTTGTGGCAACGGAGGGATTGGCCGGCGAGGCTAGCGGCAAAGGGAATTGGTCGGTAGGGGTTGAGGCAACTGAAGGACGAGACTGGTGGGGCTGGGATGTTTGGTAATCAAGGGTATTGATGTCATTTTGCCCACCATCTTGGTTAATGTGCCAAAATGAAACCGGATAAATATTGCAGGATGGAGGGAGTAATATTTTTATGCAGTAAATGCGGGAGATAAGTAGTTATGATTACAAAATACAGGAAGAAGTTCTCAGAGATCTCATCAAATTCAAAAACCTTAGGGCCATTAGGTGTCCATTTGGAAACAATAAAAATAGGGAGGAAAATATACTAATAATTCAAATGAAAGAAATGTGTGTTTGTTTTTTTTGGAGGGGGGGGGTTAACTTAAACAATTTATTTTTAATATTTGTTATTTGTTACCGACTACAATTCTACTAAATAAAGACATAGATATAAGCAAGTAAAACATGTTTAAAACCTAATCATAATAGATTATCATTAGCGTCTTTCTATGTACATTCATACACAAGAAAGTAACTTTCCTCTGCATGCAATCCATTTAGCTAGCATTTTCCATGATTCAAAAATACCCTAGAAGAATTATAGTTTGATAAACATACATGAAAACCACATCTGAACAATGACTTACTCCAGCTTTAGGTTCTTGCAGAAGAACACTTTCTTGTGAATAACCCGTCTCCTCCAAGAATAGTGGAAATGGCTTCTTAGAAAAATGCCAACAAAGTGTCAATAAGTTCAATAGATTTCTAAGCTCTGACGCAATTTCAGGTCCTTTAAGTTGTGTACAACCTTCACTGCCAAAAATACTGCTGACATGTATATTTCCCTGCACATCATAGAGAGGTGAGAATACATATCACATAGATAAGAACATCAAAATTTTTGACCCTGATAAAACTATATGCAAAAAAAATGTTTCCAAAATAAAAAAAGATTAGACTGAAGATAAAGAAATCTAAATATGTGTACAGTTTCAAAAGAAATAATCATTTTAAAACTTCTCCACAATTTCCAAGGTAGAAGTGTTTGGAGAGCTAGGACAAGGTAGTTGGGTAGGCATTTGGGCTTGGTGGTTGTTTTTACACTTGCCGTTCTATGCTTTTTTGCTTGGTGCTTTCTGCTTCTTTCTCCTTTGTTAGCCTTAATTTGATCTTTGCTTTTTTTATGCTCTGTGCTTTCAGTACTCACTTTGTTGTTTGTGTTACTCGAGCGAGGTCTCTTGGAAATAGCCTCTCTACTTTTGAATAAGGCTAAGTTCTGCGTACACATCCTCCCCAGACCACCCCACTCTTGTGTGATCCAATTAGGTTTTTGTTGATCCATGGTAGAAGTGTAGAACCATACATATGAGTATAACTTATATTGGAACTTTTATTGCCTTTCCCTACTCCCTAGGATATTCTGTAATACCCGTAGTCTCGTACTAACAAATCCTAGCAGTTTTTCAGTACTACTTTTTCTCCCCATAAAACAGAATATAGATTAGCATCAAGCAAAAATAAAACCTGCAGGCTGTGTGCAGAGTTACCTGTCTTTTTAACAGAAAGCTGATGCCAAACGCCAAGTCCCCAATGGGCCACTTACCCAAAGTCTCAGAGTAAGTAAACCTAAGAGTCTCAGACAAAGTTGAGATAGTCTCCAACCATGTCGCCGGGGCTTGTATTAGTTTACGTGAAACCCTTTCAGCTCCTACTCTAACACCACTGCTATGTACATCACCCTCATTTTCATCATCGTCAACATCCTCAGTTTCAGGACTAGATAGTAACTTTCTATTTAAAGTATAATACAAAAGTGCAGCAGCACCAGCTGCAGTGGCCATTGTTGCTGTGGCCATAAAATTCCGTTGATCCCTGTGTGAAAACATATAGAGTTGATTTCTTTTCAGCATACAGGGCTTCACAGATATTTCAAGATTGTAAATCAGTAACCCCATAACCATATTTCAAGTTCATGTCTTTATTTGATGCAACAAAAGGTAATGACATTCAGAAAAGAAGCCAAAAATGAAACCACAACAACAACAACAACAATAAGGTAATCCAACGAACATTGAATTGCTTTATTCAATTAATTACCATTACATTGAATGAAACCCTTTATTGACTATCTTTATTTACAATAAAATCGAAGTCAATATATTAATATGATTTTCTCAAGCATTATTTGATTCATATCTTAACACGTACCTACACATGACCAGAACAACAACAAGCGGGAAAAAAACCCTAAAACCCAGAACTTTATGTAATTCATACAAACACAGAAGAGAGATAGACTGTTTAGAAGTGGTGGAAATCACGCGACGAACCTGAAGAACCCGATGGTTGTGAGACGAAATTATTCTACAATTTAGCTTCGGGTCTACGAAACGCAAAATCAGAGTTGGAATTTCTGGTTAATACGAACTGCGAATAGATCGACCATACGAGAAAAGCTTACGTCCACGCAAATGCTGGTTTAGGAGGCTTGCATTCGGATCTTAATTTGGATTCTCTGATTCGGGTTTCCTGTCGGGTTTGATGAACTTTTCCGAGGAAGAAGAAAGCTTGACGAGGCCCCAGCTTGTGATGAGCCCTCTCTAGAGGAATGCTGATTGGAATGACACGTCACTCCCTTCTTAATACAAAAAGAGTGATTTTAGCTACAAAAAATCTTAAACATAAACTTAATTAGACTAGTGTTTTTGTTTATTCAAAATATATTTTTTAATGTAATATTTTTTTGGATGAAACATAATATATTTAACACAATTTTTAATAGTATAGACGTTAAATAAAGTATGAACACAATTTTAAAAAATTTATGGTAACAACTACAATTTTCTTTCTCAAAACCCAGGTAAAACTATAAGAATCTTACGAAAATTACCTCCAAGTACCATTTTGCATTCACTCCGAATGTTTCATTTTTAAAGTTATTACTATTAAAAAGTATCATTACATCTCTGATTGTGCTATATGATCTAATTTCTCATAAGTAGCAAATCTATTCATCATACATGTTTAATCTCATATGATTAGATTTGCTTGTTTAATTAATTCTGCTTTCAGGCTTCCTTGTTTGATGACACACGTTGAGCACTCGGTTAGCATCAAAGTGATTGAAAATTTCAAGTGTAATGTCTTTTCACCATGTAAAAGCAATACAATACCATTGAATACGACATTCAAAACAAGTTTACCATTTGATCTTATAGAGGTAGAAAATGATTTACAAAAGAGTATTTTTTTTCCCGTTCCTCTGTAGCCATATACAAAAAAAATCATCCTCTTTCAAGTGCCACAACTCTCATTATTTCATCGTATATCTTCATATGATCTTCATTCGTCATATATAAATTAAATGTGAAATTTGCACTGAATATAACTAAAACATAAGTCATTTTTCAATGTAGGACTTAAACTTTTTTATTCTCTAAATATGACTTAATAATGACTAGTGAGAAGAATAATATTTCAGTGATGTTGTACATTTAGTTGAATAATGACTAATAGAAAATGACTAGTGCTCCTACATTGTGAAATAAAAACATATGGTCCTATATTGAGAAAGTCATTATGTTCTAGTCCTATTTAGTTAAGTTATTCAATTAAATATCCTCTAAGATCAGACGAAAACTTTTCTTTGTCATAGTTCAGCTTTTCAACCAAGAAATTATTTTGAAATCTATTAATGAACTATCATATATATATATATATACATATATATATATATATATATATATACATACATACATATATATATTGATCATTGAATTCCTTTAAAGAGATAAGTTCTCCAAAAAAATAATTAGTTAAAATGTGACTAAATTATTGCAATCCAATTCTCAATTCAGATTTTTTTCATACTATATATTTCATATGGATCAATATGTAAATAACAAAAATTATATTTTTATTGAAAAACCTTGGTTAATGATATACTCCCTCCGTCCCAAAAAGATCTTCCTGTTTCATTTTTTGCGCGTCTCATAAAACACTTCTATCCCGCCTCAAATGCAAAAAAAACTTTCAAAACAACTTCTACTTACAATAAATGAGAAATGTAGTAAATTTTAGGCATTTTAGATGTGTATAGAAGTGTTTTATAGGATGCGCAAAAAATGAAACAGGAAGATCTTTTTGGGATAGAGGGAGTACCACATAACATTTGCTAATAAAAATTCTTCTGTATAAAATTGGGCATGTCATCAATGTCTTGAACTTTACTTTTTGAAAATTTTCAGGGTATACAATATTTTGAAGAAGTGACATGGGCTATCGAAGCTTTTCGTAAACACATATTAATCTTGTTCTAGGGAAATTCATTTATTACTCTCCTTCCATGTCAACTTCACCACAATTTTACCAAATGTCATGTTCTTGCAATTTGGAGTCAGGTTTTTAACGTGCCTTTATTGAGCGATCAACAAAATTATATAATAATATCACTCATTATTTTATTAATCTTTTAATATACTCGTAGTATTTAATTAAATATACATGTAAACTTTATCATGTTTTAATTTTTTTTTAAATAAATTATATTAAAAATAATCTTATGTATTTAATTTTTAAATGTCAAGAATTTTAGATGCCTATATAATTAGTAATACCAAACATAAAATGAAAAGTGTTTCAAAAAAAACACAAAATGAAAAGAGCCTACAAGGCTACAACTCCACCGTCTCTACGAGTATAATTCTACCGAGTATAAATGTATTCCCTCCGTTCCAAATTATTTGACACATTTGTTTTTTCAACAGTCGCGGGAACTTTTGTTTAATTCTACGTTTTTATTGGTTATTTGATAAAATAAACTATTCTTGACACCTCTTATTTCAAAGAACTTTTCATGTAGTTTTTTGATATATATTTTTTATTTTTTTTACCAATATGTAAATAAAATGAATTGAAAAAACTTGATATTTTGCCTCGAGAATATAAATGTCGCAATAATTTGGGAATGAGGGAGTATAATATAGAGTAATTTACAAAAATAGGAGTAAAAGAGGTTGGTTTTCCCTAAATAGGAGTGGTCCTATGTGACCACACGTTTGGGGTTGGGAATTACTTAAATAACCTCCTAATCCCATATTTTCCCTTCCAATATCACGCGCATGATGTCATGCTTTCTTTCCATTTTTTATTTTAAATTTTCTTTACATTTTTACAGATAATATCAAAAATTGAATTCTCCTTTTTTTAGGTTGCAATTTCTATATATTTTACCATATTAACTACCACTCCTCCACTCCATTGTCAATCTCTAAACACACCGTACTGAACCAGTTCTTCCTCCCTATCCATTTTTTTCGACACTATGCATGTTTTCTTCGTTATTGGCATCCATATGTAATCATAATGTCCTTATACTTGGATTAAAAAATAATGTCCTTATACCCATAAGTGAAATTTGGACTGAATATGACTAAACTTTAAATCATTTTCTAATGTAAGACTTAAATTTAAATAGGACTTAATAATGACTAGTGAGAAGAATAATGTCCAAGTGATGCTAGACATTTAGTTGACTAATGACTAATAGATAATGACCAATGGTCTTACATTGGTAAATAAAAATATATGTTCATATATAGAGAAAGTCATTATATTTTTGTCCTATTTAGATAAATTACCCAAAACCCATTCATGAAGACCTACACGTAAAATCAACTTTTATTCATGAAAAAATTTATTCTATTAGTCATTATTCAACTAAATGTCCAGCATCACTTGATTTTCCCAATGTAGGACTTAAACTTTTTTATTCCCTAAATAGAACTTAATAATAACTAATGAGAAGAATAATGTCCAAGGGATGCTGGATATTTAATTGAATAATGACTAATAGATAATGATCAATAGTCGTACATTGGGAAATAAAAACGGACATTGATACACATAAACTAAAAACATGACAACAATAAAATAAAGACGGCATGGAATGATCAGTTACTGGTGACTGGTGAGAGGATGAAGGGGACGTGCGATTGGTTTGGATGAATGATGATCATTACCTAAAAATAAGGAAAAAATAATTATTAATTGTTGACAATATATTGTATATATGAAAAAAGAATTCTAATTAAACATGAAAAGGAAGTTGCACGCGTGGTGGACGAAGGGTATAAACGGATCAACACACTAATTTACTCCTAAAAACAGGAAAAGACTTAAGGGGTTATATTTGGGGAAAACTCCTATCTTTTACTCTTATTTGAAACAAATTTTACTATATACCGAGTACCTTTTTTTTGTTTTGACGTTAACGTACTCCGTACTGTTTGCTCCGAACATGGACGTCGTGGCAAACACAGATTCGGTAATCAATTTTATGCCACGTTATTCGCGTCTAACTTTCATTAATCACTATTATCCGCCCACCCACGTCATAAACAAACAAATTTCCCCTCAAGTCAACCTCAACCCTATTATTAACCCGAGTCACCGTAAAACTAGAGAAAATATATGAGTAATAATTTTATATTTTTATCTTCAAAATATAAGTCCAGACTATAAAAATATGACATTGTATATGAATATTTCATAAAACTTTTTAGTAGTATACTATACATATTGTTATAGTCGACATTGTAAATACATTTCAACTCCTATTTTAAATAAAAAATATGAATTTCTTTTTTGATATATTTTTAATGTTTTATTCTTACTTCATTCGTTTTTCTTTTTGGGAAAAAATCCATTATTAACACTATTAACCATACTAACATTCATCATTAAAAAAATAAATATTCCATCTTATTCGTTTCTTAGGGAAATTATAATTAAGATTTTTGGTACATTAAAAATGAAAAAGATTAACATAAAGTGTGTTTATATTTATTCAAGGGTGATGCTAAATACACCCCAAAAATGGTTATATCCACCTCTTTCACATAAATTTGCTAAATCCACACCAATATAAACTTTATATTAATGGGTGTAGATATAGCAAATATTGGCAAAAGGTGTGGATATAGCCATTTTGGAGGGTGGATTTAGCAACACCCTTATTCAATATCATACTAATGTAGATTCTGACAAAAATAAATAAATCTCTAAGGGTTTTGTCCAAAGCGAACATATCATTCCAATATAAATCAAAAGTAATCTTAGCGTGTGGTATCGGAGATCAAGTTCGGATGGGGGCAAGAGTGGTAGGCTGCATAGTGTGCGAAGCTTTAGGTGTGACAATGTAGCAATAAGACAGTGATGTTGACGACGTATCCCGCAAAGTTGTAGCACTCGTTCAAGATGCTTTGGTAGATTAAATGGTGTGCCTCCCAAATTAGTGGCCTGGTATACGGTTCATGCCTTGTGTCGATCAAAAATCTCCTCGGCCAGACGAGGTCATGCAACGTGTCTCGTAAGTTGAAGCAGCAGTGCAAGATGATGTGCAAACCAAACAGAATGTCATTGAAGAAAAGGTCACATGTGGTGTAGCCTAGATTTTAAGGGAAAATTATTTGGTAACAACTCAATCCCACCAAAGAAAAAAAAGAAGTTAACCAAAATAAATAAGTTTTAGGCAAGTATTAGTATAGTATCTTTTGTTTTAGGATCGTGTTTACCCTCATCCAGCCATACATTAGGATGTTATTATTTGCTCTAAGCCAAACCTTCACGAATTTGTTTTTAGTCACCTGTCAAAAGACCTCATACTCATGGGTTAGGTAACCATATATATTCAGATCTCTCCTTTATTCTCTCTACGACATTATAAGGGGTGTCCACCTCAACAAACCTCCCCTTAAACTCAGACTACACAATCTCATGAACTCCCCTATAACGTTTATCCGACATTGATTTGTTGCCATCTTGTACCGTCGTAACAACCCGGGGCACGTCGTCTGACCATCTTTTCTTGTTGGAAAGAATTTCCACACAAGGTATTACCGCATATCTTCACTCGTCTAGCCCCGAAATCGCCATCTAGTCCTGTTGGCACAGTTTTGACTCCACACAACCACAAGGCACCATATCCACAATCCTATTTAGTTGGTACACCGTCCTCTGTGAACTCCGCACAACACAATTAAGACATCACTTGCTTACACCTATTGGCACACTGTCATGTTGTGGACTTCTCGCACAACACTTTAGACCCTCCGCAGATCTACTCTAGTCCGTCACACTAGTGCACCAAACTTGGGCTTAGATACCATATACAGGGACCACGAGTACCTTCACTCTAACCCCACATTAGGATAATATTATTCACTCTAGTCTAGGCTCTCTCCAATTTATTTGTAAGTAATGTGTGCCCTCCTATAGTCCTATAGCAATATGTTCCCTTCGTCTCTAAATAGATTACAATTTTTTTTCTCTACTCTCGATAACTTTTATTTGTTTACGCAATTTCATTAAGTATTTGATAAAATAAAATATTATTGTCACCTCTTATTTTGTAGAACTTTTGACGTAATTTTTTAATATGTAATTTTTATATCTTATTGATATATCAATTTGTAAATAAATTGATTTTAAAAAGTAAAAATATTTACTCCATCACCCGCAATTTGTAATCAAATTGGGCACAGAGGGAGGGAGTATAACATATCATAACCCATTATTTTGGGCGCAACTAAAACGCCGTATATTGCGCTGAGTCAAAACTTTTACAGTAATACTCTCATAAGCTCCTCCCCCTTCCCTCCCACCACTGCATTTGCACACCGACGCTTTGTGCTGTTAGGATTTGCCGGAAAATATGGCGGAGGATTTCGTCAGGTCGGTTGACCTGGGCCTCCAACTCACGAAGCGAATTTACTACGGCAAGGAACCGCCGGAGCTACAGGAGATGGACAGGATGGTGCGGGCGGCGGAGGTTAAATTGCCGACGGCGCCTATGATGTACGCCGTGATCAGTGACCCGGGGATTGTGGAGAATCCGGACATTCCGAGCTACCAGCCGTACGTGTACGGCCGGTACGCGCCGCCGGCGTTGATTCCGCTTGAAATGCACGTGATGGCGATGGAGGTAGACGTCTGTTTGGACACCGCGTTTGTTTCTGTTAGCGGCGCGTGGCGCGTGCACTGTGTCTCCGCCAGCAAAAGCTGCGACTGCAGGATTGCTATACCAATGGGAGAGCAGGTTGGTGTGAGCCTCTTCTTACTCTCTAGCTCCTTTCTTTTTGGACATAAATGATCACAAATTACAAAATTAACAAATTTGTCATTTGTAAATATAAATTTTTAATTTCTAATTACTTAAAATCACTTTATTCTTTTAGTTAGGTTCACAAATAACAACTTTGTAAATTTTATAATCATTTTACAAATTTTGATAGTAATCATTTTATGGTAAAAATTTGTAAAATTTGAGTAAAAAAGTCAAGTTGTAAAGATTTATTTAGGAGAGAAGAAGTAAATACGAGCATAAACAAACATTTAGAATAGACTTTGCAAAAATTGAATTATTTTCTTTTAGCCCGAGACCTCATCGAATTCAAAAATGATCATCTGAAAGTGGGTCAAACCTGATCCAATTTGAAGCCAACCTGACCGGCCTGCCAGTAACTAAGTAAGATTTTTCCTAAATCATGTACTTTACTAAAAAAAATATAATGTAATAAAAATTGTGTTAGATTTTTTTTCTTATCACACCATTTAAGTAGACCTCGCAAAACAAATATGTAACTAATTACTCGAACCAAATGATAAGCGAAATTGAAACCTAAATCTAAATTATTCGGAAAGTGAAGATCCAAACTATAACCAAATACCTCATATGATTCAGAGCGAACATGAACCAAAGTAAATATATCCATGCCCGATTTGGATATGAAAACAATGAAACTGAATTGATTAGATTTGAAATCGATATTACCCGAAATTGATAATATCCGAAATTGATAATACACGAAACCAATTATACCAAAAAAGCCTGAAATCAGTTGTGCCTTGGTAATAAAGATATTATAATAATGTACACAAGTGCACAACTGTATTCATGTTATTTCAATTTCTTTTATTTTTGTATATTTAGATACTCCATCAGTCCAATAATTTTTAACAATTGGACCTTTTTTTATTAAAGAGTAAATTACCTAAACGATCTGTTAGAAAATGCCTTGAATCTGTATTCTAGACCTATCAGGATTAGGACTAGGAATAAGATTGGGATTATATTTTCTTAGTCTCATATTCATATATGTAGTAGGATTAGGATTACCCATATCCCCTTCCCTATATATATGGCTTGTATTTGTACTCCTCAATACATGGTAGAGAAAAATCTGTAATCTGGTGAGAAAATATTGATCAATAAATCTGTTTCTCTTCTGTCCGTGGAGGTTACTAACAGGTTGTTAGTAAACCACGTTAAATTTTTGTCTTCTTTCGAGATTGTCGATTGTTCGTGTTCATACTTTCTCGCGTCTGTCATAACAAATCAGTATCAGAGCCTAGTTGTTCAACACAGAACACAAATCAGGAGAAGTTTGTCGCCTAGGGTTTTTGGATCTGTGCATGTTCAGCCGCCGGGAAGGGAGATCTGAGATCTGAGATTTCCATTGTCCGATCTGAGAGGAGATCTTGACATTGCCCATTTAATCCAGTCCTGCCGCCGTCGTCCAAATCGTGTCACCGTCGCCTGTCGCACTGTGCGCAGAGGTCCAAGCCGCCGTCGTCACCAGAGAGCAGGAAGCCGCAGATTGTTTCCGCGGTTCGCGTGCAGTCAAGCCGCGTGCCAGCGCGAGTGCAATTCCGCCACCACCGGTACTCGCGTCGTCAAGTTGAAGCACAAGAGCAGCCGCTGATCCGTTCAAACGCCGCCGCAGAGGGACCGTCGCACAACCAGCCATCGTCGTCCTGATCTTTTGCCGCTAAAGATCGCCGTTGTGTAGGCCATTTGGCACCGGCAGGAGCTGCGATCCAGTGGAGAGACGCACAGGAGCGAGGGTAAACACCGTTGCCGCTGCTGCCCAGAAGAACTGCCGCAGGTGTCATTCTCCAATCACCGTCCAAAGCCGCCGTTTCCTGCAAAGAGGAAAAGAGAAAAAAAAATTTGGCAGGTGCATGTGAAAAAAGTAAAGGAAAGGGACTGTGAAGTTTTTTTGGGCTGTTTTGCTTTTGGGCTGATTTGATGAGTACTCCATTTTTTGGTTGATCCTTAGAGAAAATTTGGTTGTTTATGTGAACAAATTTGAGATAATCAGGCATCAGGACTATCTGTTACGGAACCAAGGGATTGGAAGTTTGATTGTCCTAAGCAGAAGATGCAGAAAAAGGACAAGATCGAAGATGCTCACGGTTCTGCAACTATGGCAGAAGCTGATGATACAAACTCTGAAGAAGATCTGGTTCTATTTGTCAATAACCAAACACATTGTAAGGATGTGTGGGTTCTTGATTATGGGGCGTCGTATCAGATAGACGAGGGTGATGTTTCCATGGCCAACGGAGTTGTCTGCAAGGTAGTTGGAATATGCTCCATCAAGTTGAGTACTCATGATGGTACATTTTGCACCTTGAATAAAGTTAGGAATGTTCCACGGATGACGAAAAATCTGATATCCTTGACTCGTCTTGACAGTAAGGGTTTCAGTTTTGAAGGTAAAGGTGGAGTTATGAGTGTCTACAAGGATTCGAAGGTGGTTCTGAAAGGTATTAAGCATGGTACCTTATATCTTCTATAAGGATCTGTCATTGTTGCATCATCTGAGATTCATAGAGGTGATGAAAGTCTTGATGTTGAGGTGGAGGTTCCTTCTGCACGGATTGAGACTGTTGATCACCTTGAAGAATCATTTGTTTCTACGCCTCAATGAGGCAATCTGCGCCCCAGGAAGGGGATCTGGCCCGTATGGGGCAATTTGAGCCCATGAAGGGCAATCTGGGCTTTAGGAGGAGTCATCTGGATACTAGGTTGGTGTCATCTGTTTCTGTTCAGGTTCCATGAAGAGTCATTTGGACTCAAGGTGGAGTTTGCATCTGTTGGTGTTTTAGCTTGAGTTATCTGTTCCCATGAATGAGGGAAATCTATTTTGGTGTGTCACAACACTTCTGTTGAGTTCACTTTGTTAGACAAGTACAGAAAATCACTGTAAACGCAGGAACCAACCTGAAGACCATGGATGCCATGTAGACCAGTGAAGACCTTCCTTTAGACTATGTAGACGACAGAAAACTCCTGATTCAAGTCAAGGTGGAGATTTGTTAGAAAATGCCTTGAATCTGTATTCTAGACCTATCAGGATTAGGACTAAGAAATAAGATTAGGATTATATTTTCTTAGTCTCATATTCATATATGTAGTAGGATTAGGATTACCCATATCCCCTTCCCTATATATATGGCTTGTATTTGTACTCCTCAATACATGGTAGAGAAAAATCTGTAATCTGGTGAGAAAATATTGATCAATAAATCTGTTTCTCTTCTGTCCGTGGAGGTTACTAACAGGTTGTTAGTAAACCACGTTAAATCTTTGTCTTCTTTCGAGATTGTCGATTGTTCGTGTTCATACTTTCTCGCGTCTGTCATAACATAATCCTTTCTAATAAGGCAGTTTTCCAAATTAGTCCTTAATAAGCAATAATTACTAAAGTGGTCTTTTATAATTGAGATGAATTTCCTAAATAGTCATCTACCAAAAATGTCTATTAAATGACAATCAAATAGAAGATATTTTGGTATTTTCTATCATCTAGGTTTAAAGTATGTTCTTGAAATGCTTCTTTATATTTAAATATTATTTCCGAATTGATAATTTCTAAGTGACTTTTTTCCTGAAAGTGAGTCCATGAGCCTGATCGGGGTAGGTCCGCTCCTCTAGCGGCCTCCCGCTTAATTTGAAAGGATCATTTTGAGAACTTATTTAATAGACACTTTTGACAGATGACTATTTAGGGAATACTTCTCAATTACAAAGGATTGTGTTGATAATTATTGTTTATTGAGGAGTAATTTAGGAAAACATCTTATTAAAAAGGATCGTTTTATAAATTAACTTTGTATTAAATTGGTATACACTTTGACTTGCATTGTGGAAGATGGTTGAGACTGAGCGGGATATAAAGTTAGAAAAGGAGAAAATTGACGATGTTAATAGAGGGTTAAAAGTGTGAAAATGAAAATATTGGGCGAAATAAACGACAAAGGCGGAAAAAGTGAAAAAAGAAAGAAAAAAATTTCAAAAAAAGTTAGGAAAAAGGTAAAATAGTGTGAGATGATGAAGTGATGATAGATTGATCAATGTTATACAAAAAAAAGAAACATTAAGTTCTAAATTTTAATTTTAGAATAATATATATCCGAACGGCCGAACCAAAACGTATCCAAACCAAAATATATTTCAAACAAAAATATATATGAACAAAATATATCTAAAATTGAGATCTATTCGAACCAATTTATATCCGAACCGAATATGAACTGATTCAAAACAAGAAATTGTATGGAAGTGAATTATATCTAAACCAAAACCGAACTGGATCGATCGAAACCAAATCGATTATTACACATATTTGATAGATATCCAAATCGAATAAATCCAAACTGCCATCAATCATTTGATCTGGTTGCCAGGTCTACTTTTAAGTGTACAAACTTATTTTTCAAACAAATTTTTAACGTTGTCGTTTTGTTTTCTTAATTTTTTTAAATAAATCACACAAATTATTTGTAATATTGTTGTATATATGTATAAATTATTTAAAATGGAAAAATTTACATAAATACTCCCAGAAATTCATAATTTTACAATAATACTCCCAAAATCAAATAAAGACTCCTATGCTCCCAATTAAATTTTATGTTTACATGGTTACTCTCATTGTGCCTAATCAATCTTTCTTACTTTTAGGTGTCATTAAATGAGCTTAGTTGGCAAATTTGATTTGTATTTTCTATTTTAAGGAGTAATAACCATTCACGTGTTCAAAAAAAATACGGAATACAGTACAATCAAAATTTATCTATCTCCATTCTTCATACCCAAGGTTCAACGGTAAATCATTACGAGTGACTTTTCTTCTTTCTTCATATCACATATAGTCTCTCTCATAAGGAAAGATGTCAATTGTTTATGATGTTTTATTGAGAAACCATCGGAAGCAAGGATCTGCTTCAAATCTGTGGAGTTCTTCGCGTCTTCATCTTCATCAAACAAAGAAAGTTGTCCGGGTCCGAATTGCAAGCATAATATTTGTGCTAATCTGTATGTCTCTCTAAACCCCCTATTGTGGGAAGAGAGGTACACTATAAATTGATTAAGCACAATCAGTTAATTATATGTAACCATAATTAGAAAAATTGATTAAGCAAAATGGGGGTAATGATGTAAACTTAAAACTTAATTGGGAGCATCAATGTCTTTATTTGATTTTGGGAGTATTATTGTAAAATTCCAAATTTCTGGAAGTATTTGTATAAATTTTTCCATTTAAAAATTCAAATGAAAATAGTATAATACCTTTAATGTATATTTCAATATTTTCATAATTTTGGTGCAAAACGCAAGTACTAGCTATTAGCATAACTTAAAGTTTTTGAATATAAATGCTCATTATGTGTTAGGTTGATCCAAATTCCATGACACTAGGTCATGCATGCATTTCTCAATTTGAATGTGAGTTTGACCTCAACCCAAAGAAAATGAAACTGAACTAGATCTAACCGACATGTTTGTCCACTCTAATTTGGAGTAGATGTGTTGTGGGAAAACTACCAAAATAAGACTAAAATCTACTGATTGTTTCATATACCAAAATATAACTTTCAAGATTTTTATATTGAAAATAGACTTATAAGTGCTACTCCAATTGAAGGGTATATCAAAAGATAAAAGGCTCTAATTGCCATTTTACCCTTTTTTTTCATTAAAATCAATCTCCAATAGGAGAGGCATATGATAGGGTAAACATGCCTAAAGATTTACTTGTCCTGAAGCAACTAAACGAAGATTTATGCTGATTTTTTACATTAATATTAAACAATAAGTAATCTTTTTTATATTGTTAAATCTATATCCATCATTTTTTGACTGGCATACATCCATCATTTAAATTCAAATAAATTGCAATTTCAAGTTTACCTTTTTATAATTTATCCTGCCTCTTTCAGAGTTGTTCTAACTTAAAAGTGTGTTAATATATAATGTCAAAAAACACTACAAAGTGTCTAACATATTTAAATAGTAGTATGACAAAGCAATAAAATGGATCAGTGATCACACACTGAAAAGCGTCATTTGTCCAAATTCCTCAGTGACCCATTTGGACATAATTTGACCCAAATTCCTCTAATTTCCATCAAAGTTCAGTTGCAAATCAATATACGAAGTACTTCCCTTGAAATTTGAAATCCATAAATTCAAATTTTAGAATTAAAATTCAAGAATTCAAATGAAATCTAAGTTGTCAAACACTCACTAAAACTATTACAACTATTTGAGGTTAGTTTTTGTGGAAAAAAGTGCAGCATTTAGACTATGATGCATCTGATTCTTTAGTTCTCAAAATAGAAATGATTTGGCTAACAGGGTTCAGTTCTAGGTGTAGCAATTGAAACCCCATCAAGATCATATTTCACTGATCTGATTGCTCCTGATGAATCTGATGATCCATTGAAGTTAGCCAATGCAAAAGACGGTTTCTTGCTTGAATGCCAGATATACACATTACAGGTTCCCCAGGTAACACAACCACTTGCATTGGTGTGTCAATCATGATCTCTTTTCTCTGCATGTGATGAAGTTTTTGAACTGTTTAAGGTTGTTGGAGGAACTGTTTTATCCGTTAAAGCTCGTTGGTCCCAGAAAGTTTTATATCAAGACGGTCAAGTTTGCTTGACTATACCTTTCAGGTTTCCAGCAACTGTCAACCCTATTGAGAAAAAGAAGAGGAATAAAGAAAAGATCATTTTGAATGTAAACTCTGGTGTTGGAACCGTTGTTTGCTGCCAAAGTACTAGCCACCCCTTACTGGTATGTCTATTTTCGTATTTGGGATTTCCATTTTGCCACCAAAACTACATTTCCTTTTTGATAATCATGATTTTATTCTTCTTTTTTTCTCCTAGGAACCAAACAGCTTTGCTGGGAATGTAGGTTTCTTATACGAGAGAGAAGTGCTTATGTGGTCCACGAATGACTTTATTTTTTCATATAAGGTTGGATTTCTCATGCCTCTATTAAGTCATCCTGTATGGGTCAAATATATACAAATACAAACAAGCATATGAGGGCTTGGGGGGCTTCAGCTAGAGCATAAGTCTTTCTTGGGCCTACATTCATAAGTTTGAGTTTGTCCTTGAGTTGGTTCCTTGACTGTTTCCCTTAAATTTCTTGTCTTTTGTACTAATGCACCATTTTTGGTGGGCATTGTCCAACTTCAGGTTTCTTCAGTGGAAAGTTTTGGTAATGTGCTCGTGAAGTCTCCATCTCGGCATGATTTTGACCAGAGGAATATGTTTTGTTTGTATCTTTACCCTCCACATGATACCCCTAAGAAGGTTGGTCTTGCATGTTTTATTTTCTATATTATTCATTATTGGAAGCTCCCTAGATTTTTAAGTCTCATCTTTTTTAGTGTAGCTATTCAGAAGGGATTTTGTATTTATTGTTGACACAAGTGGAAGCATGCAAGGGAGGCCAATGGAGCATGTGAAAACTTCATTGCGCTCAGCCCTCTCTAAACTTGGTCCAGAAAACACCTTCAACATTATTGCTTTCAACGACATGACCTTACCATTCTCATCAAAGATGGAGCCATCTACTGAGGAAAATATTGAAAATGCAATCCAATGGATAAGCATAAATTTTGTACCCAACGGAAGCACTAATCTTTCACGGGCTCTAGATCAGGTATTTGTGTTAGAGTCTATCCCACATCGGATGTTGAATAGAAAAGTAATCGGTATATTCTATATAAGCTCTTGAGTTGAACTACGTTATTGATTGGATTCAATATCTTAATGTGGTTCAATCCAAGTGTCTTATGGCCTAGGGATATCAATTTACCACATCTCAGTATTAATCTTGGTTTGAAAAAGGACGATTTTGGTAACTTTTTCAGTTGCACATACGGACATAATGGTCTTCTACTAACTACTTGCTTAAGCCAGGCAATGAAGATGGTTTCTAATCCCAGGCATTCAAATACTGTTCTTTTTGTTATTACTGATGGGGCTGTTGAAGATGAAAGACAAATATGTGAAGTCATAAGAGGCCAGCTGTTAAAAGGAGGCGCAAATAGTCCTCGGATATGCACATTTGGCATTGGTGAGCTCACTGCATTTAATCTTCAGAATGATGTATCACTTTTCATCATTTTTTCATAAACTCCGTGAAGTCAAAGTGAAACCTTCAAGTTGTGACCCGGGGGAGGGGGGTGGTTATGTACCTAGTATTTCTATACAAGTAGAATGCATTCTGAAAGGCCACCTTTTTTAAATGGATTCTTTTCCTCTGTCCAGGTTATTATTGTAACCACTACTTCTTACAAATGCTTGCAAGTATTGGAAGAGGTTATTATGATGCTGCATATGATACAGGTTTGGTACTCTTTGACATAACGGTTGATTGGCAATCGAGGTCGAATAATGAGATCTTTATTTTCCATGTTTTCTTCCTAAATCCGCTGCTTTGGCAGAATCAATCAGTTCTAGGCTGGAAAGGCTCTTTGACAGTTCATCGTCAGCCATCCTCGCTGATATAAAAATCGATGCTCTGGAACATCTAAATTCACTTGAGGTACACTGACCCTATCCATCAATATATATATATATATATATATATATATATATATATGTTGTTGGTTCTGATTATAAGTACGGAGTATATGTTAAAAAGGGAGTGTAAGGTTTTAAAAAATAAAGAAACCAGGGGTGTTTTGGGATTTACGGTTGAAAGCTTAATACGGAGTATTCTGCTAAACTTCACATGAAGTTTTGCTTCTTCATCTTGTGACACCTCCAGTTGATGTTCATTGCTGCAGCTGTACCCAAACTCTATTCCAGACCTGTTGTGTGGGATTCCATTCATTGTATATGGCAGATTCTATGGGGACTTCCCTGACAAGGTTAAAGTTAACGGAACATTACCCGATTCAACCAACTTTGAGATGGGAGTGGAAGTGCACAAAGTGAATGATTTTCCTCTTGAGAGAGTAAGATTCCAACATTTTGCACATGTGTCTTGGAGTTTCTGGTTTGTCAATTTAAGGCTCATGTTCATAAACCAAACCAAACAAACTCACTATATCACAATTTACCCCATATCACCCACACCATATAAAAGTTGAATTTCCTAATCTTATTGCCAAAGGGTTAAAGGTTTGTTGGGCTTATTTAAACTTCTTAAATTTATTTATTTATTTTTTTGATAAAAAAACTTCAAAGTTGGATATCTGGTGCAAACCTCTAAACACTTTAATTTGGCAGCTTTTTGCGGGGAGAGAAATAGGAATACTGACAGCTCAGGCGTGGTTGACGCGAAGGAAAGAACTTGAGAAGAAGGTTATGTTAGATCAATTTGTCTCAAATTGTAAATTAATAAAAAAACAGAATAATCAAAACTATACTTTCAAAAAAAAACTATGAAATGCATGTATTGTAACACCAACATTTGGAAATCAGGTGGTGAAGCTAAGCTTGCTAACAGGAGTGGCTTCTGAATACACAAGAATGGTTTTAGTGGAGAGTGACAGGGGAAATCATAACGCCAAACCAGAGACTCTTAAAGAGGTACACACACACAAACACACACACACACACATATACACACACGCGCGCGCACACATGCGGAGTATATATGTATATCAGTATATATATATATCTGAAAATGCTAGTCATAAACAAACATTTCACAGACTTTGATACTTTGTAAAGAGGACCATTTACCCTTACACTTTGTTTGAACTCGTGAACTCTTGGTCAACGAGACTTTGATACTATGTGAAGCAACCAACTCAACCAAAAAGTCAATCTTTGTAGTTGTAGGTCCAGAAAAGATTTCAAATTCTAACCATCTAACCAGCTCCTATTTTCCGGGACGTTTGTATGAACACGCAATACAGGTAATGACGAGCGATTCGAATGTGAAGAAGACGACATACCTCCGAGGAACAGGGGTCGGGTTCGGTAACTTGAAGGCAACGGCGGGGAACCTGCCGCCGGGAGCAGCAGCGGCGAAGCGGCTGCACCAGACGGAAGCCGCGGCATTTGCTGCCAAGTGTTGCAGCAAGGCGGTGGACCGCTGCTGCTGCTGCATGTGCTTGCTTCAAATATGCTCGAAGCTCAGCGACCGGTGTGCCGTGGCCTTCACGCAGCTCTGCGCCGGGCTGGCTTGCTTCGAGTGCCTCAGTGTTTGCTGCGATCTCTGCGACTTGTAAATTCCTTGTACGGACATTTTGTGATCACGCCACTTGTATATTCATTGTTACTCTCATTCATGGCTTCAATAAGTTTCAAAACAATTCTCAGTTGTGGAAGCATTTTTAGTGACTTGCTGTAATAAATTTTACTCACTTCAAAGTTTTCTTAACGTCAATTGTTTCTGGACCATCATCCACCACTCCTCTGTTAGTGATTTTAGTGTCATCAGTTATTTTGTGTGATTGGATTTACTTAGATTGAACAAGAATTTAAATAGACGTCAAACAAGTTAGGAGGCGCGGAGTGTGTGCTCGTTCAACGATATTACAAATTCAAAGCGGGGTTCGGGGGTGGCAGTCCCTGGATAGCGGGGTCCAAGGGGCAGACTTTTTTTATTTTGGACGTTTTTTCTTTATATAAATCCTTAAGATTCTCGTGATTGGAGTCCAAAACAATAAAGGACTCGAACGAGTGGATAAACGTCGAATTTGACTCTAAAACCGCATGAGACCTTTCGTTGAAACGTGTTCTTCTCGAGCGTTTCTTCCTCTCCGCGGGAATGTACGCGTCAACGCGAACGTTCATGTTCGGTCATTAATTTTTGACTCTATAAATAGAGTCTCGTGGTATGGGTTGAGGGATTGATTTTTTGTGCTTGTTCTTGATTAATGTCTTATCCGATTGAAGTATTTCGTATATCATAAAATAACCTTAATCTGAAAGTGTTTATACGCGATTCGTTATACTATCGACTTCTTTATTTACACTGCTTCGCAGTGTTCTTCCTCCTAAAGTTCCTACATCCTCGAGGCCCTACTCTCTCGGACCTCAGGGTAATTACATTTTTCAAAAAAAAAAGAAGAGAGAAATAAAAAAATTCTAATTGGGCCAAACTGCCGAATAGAACACGTGTGAAATGAAAAGGTCATGCCAGCTTATCTATCAATCAAAGGCCTGGAAATTCTGGGTCACAACTCGGAAGCCCACTCCTACTCTTTAAATAAAAAAAGTGAAAGGCCCATAAAACAAATTAGTTGACCCCTCGGTTCTTCAGCAGCCGTTGGATCTTCTTCGTACGTACGGACGGACGGACGATATCTGCCCTAATTTCCCACGTTGTCGCGGCAATCGTGGCCGTACAAATAGACAAGAATTCCGGTGCGGGTCCCACCGGAGGCTGACACGACAGCGGTGGTCCAATGAATGAAGCGTAAATTGGCCGCTTCGTCACTTGTGGGCCCCCTCCGGCTTCTCTGCTTGTGCATGCAAGTTGTTGGTTCCGTCGGCACGTTTTCCTAATTAGTCAAAGTCGCGAGTTGTTTTCTGCAAAGTCCTGCAAACCCGTTTGGGTCACCTTTCAAAAAACGAGTAATCAAACAGTGGCACGTCTAGTGTCACTAAAAATGGGTATTACAAGAATCTCACCGTTTTAGCGATTGAATTCTAGTGGCACGGGGTTCAAGTGGCACCACAGTTTCATCGTACTATGGTGTCACTACAACTTCACCGTTTTAAAATAGTCTATTAGTCCATGTGGTTAAAGAACTCGTGTATAATTTGTCGCTTTAAGAAAAAACGTAAAGCACACAAAAATACAGAATATAAGTTTACTCTATGAAAATGTAAAGTATGTAACAAAAAAAATTATATAATGAAATTGCCCTCGTACTCGTCAAAGGTAATGAATGGTTTTTTTAGCTCTTTTTTAACATGATTTTACTTTAGAATAAAATTACTTAAAAAGAGAATAATATCGAACTCATATAAGACATTCTACTACGACTCAAAAATATCACTATAGAAAAGATGGAGAATTCGTTGTAAGAGTTAAACTAAAAGATAAAAAATATTATACTATGGTATAAAGTTACAAATCAAAACGGGAATTTTAGATTACTTTTTTTTACAATTACATGATTGACGTCTTTAAATAATACACATGTGTTGTGTACGTTTTACGAATTTTCTAATGTAGAGACTAATTATGCTCTGGTTGTTTGACCACATAGATTATTTGACAAAATTAAATTTGTTCTGATCAAGAACAAGAAAAAAAATATATTATCAACTCATATATAAACTACTCCCTCCGTTCTAAAACTTTCTTCCCAGAACACTGTTCCAACTTCACGGGAATTTATATTTATTTATATTTTTTCATGGCCTATATGATAAAATAAAATGTTCTTGTCACCACTTATTTTGGTGAACTTTTGATGTAGTTTTTAAATATGTATGTTTTATTTTTTATTTCTATACCAATATTTAAATAAAATAGATTGAAAAAACTTGGGATTTTTCTTCATTTTGCGCAACAGGAAGAAAGTTTTAGGACGGAGGGACTATAAAAATAATTTATTCAATACTTAATTTTGATGAAATTAAAAAAACACAAAACATCAATCTATTGCACCATGACTCCATGTAGTTTGATTAACGTGAATCGTTACCTTGTATGGTTTCAAAATTTACGCCGTTGTTCCTCGTATTCCTGATATTGCTATGCCAATGCCCCTTTCGGCTATAACATTCTTCAAATATTATGTGAATAGCTATACTATCCCATATGGTTTTAGAAATTGGCACAAACAAGTCCTCTTTCCTTTATTGTTTTTCTCTTTTCTATTATTTTTTCACATTTTTTTATTTTTTTTAAAAATTCTTTTTATAATGTCTTAATAATAATTTTTTCCGTGTTTGCATTAAAAATCAATTAAATGACAAGAATTAACGTATACTTTATTTGTCTCAAATTAAACACTTTCATTTTTTGTTAAAAGATGTCTTTATTAGTTAATTTAATGATACGAAAATCAATGAAATATTTTTTTTTATTTTTACTAAAGCTCATTTCTCATTTTCTATTCATTAATTATATACCGTTTCTTTTAATTTAATCAAAATTAAAATAAAAATTATAGAAAATAAAATTAAGAAAAAGAAAATTATATGATTTTTTTTATAGAATCGAGAAATTTAAGTCATGAAGGAATTCTTTTGCGCATTGGCCCCAAAAATGTTATTAGTATATAATTAATTATATATTAAAAAGATGTTACTCAGTTTTTTTGGTCTCGACATATTCAAAAAGATGACTTTTTTAGACAAAAACAAAATATATAATTTTACAAATGAAACATATGTTAAATTTTTTATTTCAAACCCATACATTTTTTATTTTTTAAAAATGCAGGTTTGAAAAAACATTTTTTTTATTATTTCACACACACTTTATTCTTTTTTATGAAAAAAAGAAAAGAAAAGAAAAAGAGAGAGGGGGGTGTTGGCGCCATTCTCTAAAATCATAGGGGGCGGCGGAGTTATGCACCTTATATTTAAAAGATATTTTTGCTCACAGAGACATTGACGTAGTAATATCAGAATCATACAGAATAAATAGCAATTGAGTAAGTTTTGAAGTCATGAGAATAAAGATGCACATTTACCAAACTATCTTAACTACTATTACTGGCTTAGTGCAATAAACTCTTCGAGAGGGAGTAATTTGTAATCTCTCCATCCTAAAATTAATTTCTAATTTGACTTTTCATGGTCTCTAATGTGACATTTTGACCATGAATATCTCCATTTTTATATGAATATATATAACAAAAATAACATGTTTCAAAACTATATTTCACTATGAATCTATTGATAATAAATTTATATGAAAATTCAATATATTTTTTCTGTATTATACGATAAAAATTTAAAAAATTTAATTTTTAAAATTAAACTGGATAATTAATTTTAGAACGAAGGGTTAGTAATTATTTTCAAAAGAATTTTTAAAACTACAGCAAAAGTCAAAAAGTAAGTTGATTTGGGACGGTGGGTGAGCTTGAGAATAAATGAGTTTTTGTAAGCACGTGTTTCTAATGCGTTGGTTTCGGTAACCGGCCGACAACTTGCGCGTTCTTCCATTCCATCCATTTCTCTTTCATGTGGTGGGAACATAAGTCATCGTTTACACAAAAGATTCTCATGATTTGATTTTAGTCATATTTTTTTATCGCAAACTATTTATATTTTTAAAAAATTAAATATTATAAAAATTTAATGTTTCAAAACTATATATTAAAATAAATTTAATTTTACTAAATTTATATTATTATTAAATACTTTCTACGTCTCAAAAAGAATTTCCTACTTTGATTAATATGCAAAACCTCGTAGATTTTAAAATGATTTTATTTGCAAATTGGTAAGGAAATAACACATAAAAAAATTATATTTAAAAACTACATCGAAAACTCTACAAATTAAGAGGTGACAAGAATATTTTATTTTATCAAATGATCAATGAAAACACGCAAACAAATAAGAGTTATCGAGAAGCCGTAATAGTAAACAGGAAAGACTTTTTAGGACGGATGGAGTATATAATTTCATAATTCACGACTAAAAGATGTCAAGTTTAACTAAAAAATTAAATTGTAACAATCTTTTAGTGATGATATTATTCTCTCCGTTTAAAAAATATCATTTTATTGTGTGTTATGACATTTGACTAAATTTATTTTTAAATGATAAAAATGTAATGTAGAAATTTAAAATTAAAGTTACATATATAAAAACTATATGAAAATATCTATAAAAACTAGAAGCGACATGACTATAATATTTTATAAAATAGACAACAAAAATAAGTCAACAAACTAAATAAAGCTGATGAGAAAAGACTAAATAGGAGTAAACCATTGAAAATATAGTAAAATAGGAGTTTCATATTTTTATACAATCTCAATTATCACTATATACATTACTAAAAAATATTGTGAAATGTTTATGTACAGTGTAACATTTCTATAATGCAAACTACTAATTTAGAAATAAAAATATAGAATTTTTATTTTAGTACTTTCTTTATGTTTTTACACTTTTTCTGGTAAATTTTTTAAAATTACACTATGTAATTTTTAAATAAAAGATATATGTATATGCTTGTGAATCTTACACATTCAATCAAGAAGAGACCATTAAAAAAGATTCCTACTTTTACTTGACATAATACTTATAAAAAAAATATGCGCTTGAAAGTGATACAAATTGAGATAAAATTGTGAGCAACTAATTTTTTTTGGAACAATTAAAAAAGAAAATACAGATTTTTTTAAGGAGGGAGTGAGTATTTTATTCTTTTTTTCTGCGTCTTTTCCTCCATACGTTTTTTAAAAACGTGCAGAAAGCAGTTACACGACTTTCCACCCAAAAATAATAATTCATTTATAATGATTTTATAATAAAAAGAAGAATTTTTCTTGAGATTCCATCAAATGGTTTGAATTCCTCCGGCAAATCTCACATCTTCCCCTTCCATCCATCCGCTCGCCGCGCTTCAATCGGAAGCTCGTTCCGTTCCTTCAACCTCGGCGCCGACGGGGGGCGAATCCAGGAAAAATCGCCGCCATGCAACTTCCATTCGACGGCGGGAGGTCCGCCAGGGCGGCGGAGAAGCCGAATTTCGCGCAGACTTGCAATCTCCTCAGCCAGTTTCTCAAAGGGAAAGGGAATCTCAGAGATCTAGGGCTGGAAATTCGCGGCAAATTGGAAGCTCCAGGTACTTCACCCCTCGATTTTCATTATTACTGTATTTAGAGTTTTTATTGGCAAATTCTGATTTAATTACTACAGATCTGAGGCGCATATAGAATTCCAGATTGCTGTGTTAAATGAGCTCGCTTTAATTTTGGTTACTTTGGGGAGAAGTTTAATTTTGGTTAAACGAGTTCAATTGATGAGATATTGAATGCATGTTTATGTGCTACATCTTGTCATTTATTCATATTCTTCTTCTAGTGTTACAATCTATAAAACAGACCCTGTTCAAGTAAGATTGTATTCATATTCTTGTTTACTTACTCAATTTAGATGAGATCATATTAAGATTGGATTGTATTAAAAACATTCATGCTAGATAATATAAAATTCAGACCTGATTATATCAGTCCAAAATCAGATCTATTATCGCCACCAGAGTATCATATTTAAGTCTAGTTTGAAATTGTTAAATGCAAGAAAAAAATTCAATTTTATCTCCCCAAAATTGAAGAACACCCCAAGAATCTGCCTCTAATCTCTTAATTTTGCATTTTATAAAATTTCAAAACTTGCAAAANCCCCCCCCCCCCCCCCGATTTGCCTTGGATCCAACATGAACTATGGTCTTGTTTCTCCATTGGATCTGATTTGTTTGGAATAAGTTCTAATATGGTCTGATCTGATTGTAGTTATATTTAAAGTTGTTTCTAATCTTGGCCAATCTGATTAAATTCCAATTAGAAAAAGTAATGAAGAATGAGAATAAGAGCTTGTTGCAGAGAACAAGCTCTATATGGAGAATGAAGATCTGTTTGGTAAAAGCTACTCTGTAATTGTTTAAGATGGTTGTTCTGTCTATATTATTTTTACTTTTACTCCTCCCATCCAAAAATTATCTTCTCGTCCACGATTCACAAGGTCAAACTTTATTCACTTTGTTTGTCTATTTTTGTTACTAATTTTATAAGATAATACACTAATGTCACATTTACTTTTGTAGATCTTTTGATGTAGTTTTTAAATATGTAATTTTATTTTTTTAATTTCACACCATGTTTCATGTAAAATGATTTGAAAACAACTTCAGTCAAATATTGTAACACGCAACGGAAAGATAATTTTTGGACAGAGGGAGAATATATTTGGAGGGAAAAAAAGCATTTAGTAACATCTATTTTTTTCTCTTCATAAATATTGAGTAATACGGAGTACAAGCACTATATCCTTTTAAACTGTCACTCATGGTTGCACCTATATAGGAAGGATATTTACTAAACATCAAAGTCTTGAAAATTTAAGGTATGCAGTACTTTGTATAATTGTATACTATATCTAGAAAATCTTCACTAATGCTTTAAATTAACTCTCTATTTACCTTTTACTCCCTTCTTAAACATCAATTCTTTCTGTCCATTATTTTTTGTCTCTTTACTTTCTTTTGTCAATCTCATTATACGTAATGTTATACATCGGGGTGTACAATATATATTGTACAATTGGCATGTCCACTTACAAGTTAAATACTACGGAGTACTCGTTTTGCACATTGATTTTCTTTGCATATATTTACAGCGTGCAAATTATAAAATTAATGTATGCACATTTAAAAAATGCAAAATGCTCATTTCGTTCCTTTTTTTGTTCATTTTGTTAATAACATTTTCAATCAACGAAAGAATAAAACAAGATATTGAAAATGAAATCGCAAAAAAGCACATTCTTTATTTTGTACATAATCAGAATGTGCATATCATAAAATTAGTATATTTACATTTACGAATTATATAACATTCAAAAATCAAAATAAAGAGTAACACTCGTAATACCTTTAATCCATTTTTCCATCCAGATTCCAAACACAGGCTTAACGTTTCTCGGGAAAAACCAGACGTGGCCACTGCTGCACCCACTATCGACTTCTTAGGGAACATGGGAAAATCAAATCACTCACCACTGGAACAGGACTTGAATTTCACCGGTTTGGTTCCTAAACATACTGCCGTGGGCTCATCTCCGGCATTGGCGGATGAAGCTTCAAAAGAAGCACCAAGAGAGGCCGCAGCCAAGACGGCCCCACTCACAATTTTCTACTCCGGCAAAGTTATGGTCTTCGATGATTTTCCGGCTGACCAAGCCGCGGCTGTACTGACTTTGGCACGCAAAGTGAGCTTTCAGAATGCTACTTCTGGTGTTTTCCAGACAGTCACTGCAGATGTCCAACCCACCTCTGTTAGTAACAGGACACCACAAGTCCTTTCTCGCCCTTCAGGGCCTAATGTTTCAGGTAATTTACCCACTGATCATTTGATTTTTTCCCCCCACATTCTAGTAAGCTACCGTATAAACTTTACTCATTTCCTCTTTTTGAGGTTCTAAAAATGCTTCTAATTTATTTTACTTTCTTTCTTGTAGTAGTAAACTTGCTCAAAAGATTTTGTTTTCATTTAAAGAAGTTGCTTTTCACTTTTCAATTTTGGGCCATATTTTTTTAAAATCTAAAAACGGAAATATAAAAAAATGAGATTTTTTTTTCAACAAATGAAAAAGAAAAGTGAGCAGATTGCGTGACGGCCTCACAGGGGAGTATCTTTGCATTTATTTACGAAGGAGTATTAGTTTAATTAAATTGACACTTCTGAGAACATTAGATTTTCTTTTTGTTCAAAGGAGTCCTTATTGGGATAAAAATAAGTGTTCAGAACTCTTTATATGGGTCAGAGGTTTTGATTATGTTGGTCATGCTTGATTTTTTAATATAAAGAAACAGTTGATAGGATGCTGAAAATGGTGTGTTATGGCGTTTTTTGTTTCAGATCTTCCAATTGCAAGGAGATCGTCACTTCATCGGTTCCTGGAGAAGAGGAAGGATAGGTATGTATTTTGTGTACTTGAATCGGTAACTCGATTTTTTCTTTAATTTTCATATTGGTCCCGCAAATATGAGTCACATGGTGGACATGACAATATAACAAATTCAAACTCGTCTTCATATCCCATTTTCCTCGAATTTTGATTACTCATTATGATGAGTATTGATGACTGTTTTGAAATCATAAACTCTTCAATCAAGGGCAAGGGATGTAAATTTGTTAGGTAGTATGTTCTGCATGAGTTTGTGGTATGATTTTAATTCTTTTTGTTATATATAATGGTTTTGTTGGGGGTTACATTTACATGTAGGAAAGCAACAACAACATCAAACTCAGTAGAACAAAAGATTTACATTGTGTAACAAATAGAAAAAAAAGTTCAAGATTTACATTATTAATATGTTTTTGTTCAGGTCCGTTGCTAGGGCGCCATACCAGCTACTTCACAATCCATTGCCCTCATCATCATCATCTTCATCCAAGGATGAAGTCCTAGATCTCAACTTCAAGTTGTAGTCTCTACGTGCAGCAAACATGTGAGGCTTGAATTGACGCGTATTGTTCTCGCAAAGCCCTTTAACTAGTTCCGCGTTGGAAATTCGATACGTGGTAGCATTTCTCATATCCCATTCAAACTTTCCGTGAGTTGCGACATTTTTGGGTCGTGACGAAGTTATTTATTGTAAATAATAATAGCCGATTGTAGGTGTGGCACCTTATTTTTTTTCTTCCGGGGTACTAAAACAGTAAAACTTATATTAATCCCATCATTTTAACACCATTTTCATCTTCATCTGTAGGAAAGTGTAGTGTGAAATATGATGTTAATATTGTTTATCCATATTTTTTTTGTAACACCCCTTTCATCCTGGTTTGCATTAGTTTTAACTTTTAAATGCTCCATGGTTTTACTTTGAACTAAAGAAGTTAAAAATTGTACTGCATTGAGTGGGAAAAATTTAAAAGACCAACTTTAAAACTTCAAGGGCTGCTCACTCGGGATCCGATTTGTAGAGGAAGCAAGATTGAATGAGTTTATGGGAATTTTCTAAAACTATGGCCCAAAGAATTTGAAAAGTAAAGAAAAAATGAGATGAAAAATAATTTTTGATGTTTGGTTAGAAAAGAAAAGAAACTGGAATAAAAAGGTAAAATGAATTAATAAAAGGAAAATAGATTTTGAAAATAGCAACTCTATTTTTCAATCTCTTAAAATTTTGGATAGAAATAGAGATTGACCAAAAATACTTAACTCGAAACTGGTTTACTGACTAATAACAAAAGAATAACCAGAAACAAGATACTGTTAAACCTATGAGTTGACCTAAGAAAAATGGCTAACAAAAATTCTTTTTTTAATATTTAGTTAACTTAAAGCACAATCACACATAAAGCATTACTTTAAGAATTAAACAATAATAGATTAACTTAGACAATTTTGGAATATTGAGATGCAAAATGTAATTGTTTCCTTTGCACACAGACTTCTTTCTCAATTACTCTTTATATGTGTGTATCGTATTGATACTTTGAGAATTGAGATGCATAATGTAAACGTTGATCTGATTTCCAAACACAATTTTTTCCTTCTTTTCTTTGTCCTCAGGGGTTGGGGAATCCAAACAATATTCTAAGAAAATTTGTGATAATTTAAAAATAGAATAAAATTTTGAATAAAATTTGGGAAATCCAAACAACATTATAATAAAATTTGTGAATCCACAAAAATAATACTCAAAAATATATTTAAAAAACCTGCATTATGAATAAATTCTGTAAGTAATGACTAGAATGTAAATATGATAATTTAAGTATAAAATACACAACTTAACGCACTAAATCACTGATTTAATAAAAAATAAATAAAAATAATTTCAGACAAAACACTTGATAAGCATTTTTTTACAAAATAATATGCAATAAGAACATTTATTAGAGTAGTAAGCAAGTAGTAAACATATGCTTGTTCAACTAAAATGGTTTAGACCTTAGGTCTAAGAAGGAAGCACTCATATACCTTTTACTACCTCCATCTCAAAGTGAATGCCACATTCAATTCAATATTATGTACAAAATTTTGTCAGTTTTAAATTATTTTAATAAAAAATAGGTAGAAAAATGAAATGTATAAACTACATCATTCAGAAACATATTAAAATTTCTATAAAATAAGAGAGAATAAAAATACTAATCCTTCTATCCCTAAAAACTCTTCATATTTTGATTTTTTGGATCAAATAGTGACACTTTTTTGTCATACATTAAGCACAATCTAAATAGACAAATGTTATAAAAGTTTATGTATCAAAATTATTTTCTAAGATGAACTCAATTATATCAAATTTATATTATAATTTAATATACTTTGTCTCATAATTTTTTGTTAAAGAGTATGACTATTTGATCTAAAAAATTAAAACAAGACTTGGGAAATTTACAAAAAAAGTAAAATTTGCACTAAATAGGACTAAAACATAAGTCCTTTTCCAATATAAGACTTAAAACTTTCTTATTCTCTAAATAGAATTTAATAATGTCTAGTGAGAGGAATAATGTTCAATAATGATGAAAATTCAGTTGAATAATGACTAATTGATAATGACTAAAAGTCTTACATTAGAAAATTCAGTTGAATGATGACTAACTGATAATAACTGATCATATATTGAAAAGTTATTATGTTTTAGTCCGTAAATTTCTCAAAAAAAAATAATACAAGTGGGGTAGAACTAAGACAAAGAAGGGAGGTACTACATAAAAGGAGCTCCGGAAATCCAGAGTTCTGGCTGTCTTCCTTGTTCATCTCCGTGCTGAGCAAATCATAGCAAGAGTTTGTTAGAATTAAGCTTCCTTTGGGTTCTTCCACCGTAAATCGAACTTTCCAGGCGTTCTGCAGCACCTCCGAATGTCATCTTGTTTGGATCATCAATAATCATCAGAACGAGCGGTTGAACAATAGGCTTCTATCAATGGGGGTCTCGTTTAGGGTCTCTAAGACCGGCACAAGGTTTCGGCCCAGAATACAAGCTCAACCCACTACAGACGCCGCCGCTGACGAGGAAGACGCCGTCTCCGATGTCCAATTTCAGAAGCATAGAAATTCAACTCCGCCTCTTCATGATACGACTTCCGCATCCGCTGCTAGGAGGGTCTCGGTAACTCTGTTGTTTTTCTTCGCAAATTTTCAAATTCAAGTTCATTTATTGCATCTGCTATACATTATTTCTTGCACGATTTTTTTGGTTATTTGATTTTATTTCAGTAATTAGATCACTTCAACCGAGTTTCTGCGTACCAGGGGTATGATTTTCTCGTGGTTTATTGAGTCAATGATGATATGATGGCTTTTTCTCCTTCCGTAAGGGCCATTTAAAAAAAATTCCATTTTGTAGGGTTTATATATAAGGAGTAGTTTTTATTTTCAGCACTATTTATCTTGCACCAGTCAATGGTGAGAAGCAAGTGTAAATATAAGTTCATAGCCTAAGTTATATTTATATATGCCCAGAGAATGGACCAGATAACATTTTTTCGGTATATTGTTTTGACAAATTTATGTGATGGATTGCTTACTTATTGCCAAACATTAAAATGAACAAAAAATTTGATGGGATGTAGTAAGTTGCCACATTTACAAACCAAATATCTTATGCTGCAATGTTACCCACGTTCATGGGATTCACATTGTTTTTTTCATAGTTATATGAGTAAGTTCCTTTCTGGTTGCCATATAATGAGGCAATGAGCTGATTGTGATTTACAAGTAAAAGTGAGCAAATTCAGAAAACTAGAGGTGGAATATTAGAAAAATAACCCCCCAAGAGAACAGATCCTAAGACATTTAAGTTGAATAATCCGTTAAGTTCAAACTTATCCCCATTTTCTTCCATGCCCACTAATGTACTTTTTTATTGCATAGACTGAGGTCACTGATGTCGACAATCGCACTTCTGGAGTCTCTGGTAAGTTGACTATCCTAATGGTTTTTCAATTTCAAAACTGCAACTACACCCGTTTTGTTTTCTATAGCATCTCATTCTTTCTTTTACCACCCTTTGGCCAGTTGATTTTCAGTTAACCTGTTTTCACCTTTTTCTTTCTCCAGAAAATGAAGTATCATTCTCACTGAACCTGTATCTAGATGGTTATTCTATTGGGAAATCATTAGAGGTGTGAAATTATCAATCCTATTTTAAAAGCAAACATCATGATGAAAACTTATGGTTTGGTGTTGCATATACGAATTAATTCCATTTAATATTTATATTTCAGATTGATCCTTCTGGCAATGCTCCAAGATTTTTACATCCATATGATAGGGCATCTGTAATGCTCTTCTCGGTAAGTGTTACCACAGGCATCATTAAAAAAACTTTCCCCATAACATCTTTTATATCACTCTCACCTATGTTTCCTTGTGCTTCTTGAGGCAATTGAGGCTGGCCGATTACCTGTTGATATTCTGGATGATATACCGTGCAAGTATATCGATGGTGCAATTGTTTGTGAGGTGAGACTTCCAAGTCCTTAGTCCTTAATTTCAACATTTAATACAACATTTATGCCATTAGGTAGTGTAGCATCAACTACATTAAACTGCTTACGTACTTGCATTTCCTTATTAAAGGAATGATTATTGAGGTGGACCAATATACATATTTACTCTTAGGACAGAAAGGAATGATATTTTAGGAGGAAAAATATACATATTTACTCTTCGTACGTAAAAGAAGCAAAATGGGATGGGCATGGAAGTGCAGAAGAGTTATGATGTGATACGGAAGATGCTATTAGAAAGACGGCAAAAAAAACTCTTGGAGAAACTGAAGGCATTAATGCAAGAAACAAAGAATCATGGTGGTGGGACACTAGGAGGAAGAGAAGGTAGAGGTAAGACGGGAACGTTTCAAGGAGTGGTCTTTATGTCGTAATGTGGAAAGTTGGGGAAGGTATAAGACGACTAAGATGGAGACAAAAGTGGTTGTAGGTGAAGCAAAAATGAGAGCATATGAAAGGTTTTTACCCGTTGTTGGATATGAAAAAATGGGAAAGTTGTAATTGCACGATCGCAAAGGGTCGAAAAAGAAGGTTGCGAGATTTGAAGTTAAGTGCATTAAAGAAAAAAATGGTGAAGGTTTGGTTCGATGAAAGCATAAACGAGCGGGAAGAGCTACTTCAATGATGAGGGGCACACAAATCTCTCATGCTTTGATCGGCTACACACAAGGGAGGATGACCAAAACTTCAATTTTTATTGGAGAATTCAAGAAATCAAAGTTAAAGGATGCCCTAAAGAATTCGAGAATAGCAAAGTAGTGGTGGCTAACTAGGTTTTTAACAATATCCCGATTGAAGATTGGAAAGACTTAGGAGGAAAAGGCATTTGGTGGCTAACTAAGTTTTTAATGATATTCTAAGATCTAAGAATATACCTAACAAATGGTGGAAGAGCATTTTGGTTTTTATTTACAATAATAAGGGGTTATTCAGTCATTTAGAGTTGTGGAAACTACAAAGGGATCAAGCTCATGAGTCATACGATGAAATTGTGGGAAAGAGTGGTTGAGTGGAAGTTGAGACAAGAGACTTTGGTGTCAGAGAACCAATTTGGTTTTATAGAAAGAATTACTCATGGCTTTTATTGATTTGGAAAATGCATATGACAGGGTACAAAGAGAAGTATTGTCGAAGCTTTTAGAGAAAAAAGAGTAAGGAATGAGTATATTCGTGCGATTAAGGACATGTATGGTGGTGCTACAATGAGCATGAGAAGTCAAAGTGGGGTAATGGGGGAATTTCCATTTGTGTATGATTACACCAACGGTCATTGTTAAGCTCATATCTTTTTACACTAGTATCAAACGTTCTCCAAGAATGCATACCATGGTGCATGCCTTTGTCGATGACATCATCCTTAAGGGCAAATCATGAGAGGATTTGAATGGGAAATTGGGTTCGTAGAGATTTTGGAAGTCCATGGCTTGCATAAAAGTTGGACTAAAACATAGTATATAGAGTGCAAGTTTTGCAACGGAAGGAGAATTATCGTATGATTCATGTCACATCTTATCCATATCAATTTTTAGACACTGGGGAACTTATGATATTGCCTATCATATGCTGCTGTACAGGACTACAGGGTGTTGATCTGGATTGCAGAAAGCTTTGACTTACTCTTTTACCTTATGATAAACTGCAAACGTCAATTACTCCCTGCCTCCACCCCCTGGGAAAAATCTCATTTCAAGAACTACTGTTGTCCCCACAAACAAGTTACTTAAGTAAAATTACTGGAAAGCCAAGTGGCAAGTGGAATTTATCAATGACTAAACAATCTTGGGAAAAAAGCTTTAGCAATTTGTACCTTACTAAAACAAGAGTTTTATTTTGGACGGATGAAGTATTTGCTTCCCCTTTTGCATCTCTTGCAGAAATGAATATACGGTCATTACTCCTTTTAGGCCAGTTTGCTACCTTTTCCTGTGTGTTTGTAGTATGCATTCTTATCAGTTTTCAATCTGATATGTCGGCTTTCCCATGCCTTTAAGCATGGCCTTGGTGTTGTAATACTATTTTTCCCTGGTGCATCACATTAAAAAAGGTTTAAAAAGCCCATTTAACCTAACAAATAGATAATTGGTCACTCCGCTTTGCCTTTTTTTAATGCTGACCAATTGATCAAGTTTAAAAAGTGAACCAAATCACAAAAATGTTTGATAATGAGATCTTCAAAAGCAGGTAGTTTTCCACATTTGTCAACTCTGTATATACAATTTGTCTCTACACTTTCTAACATTGGGCTCTACAAATAATTAAGGTTCGAGATTACAGGAAATGCATGTCTGAAGCAGGACAAGGTTCAGATCCAGTAAATCTTTATCCTCTTATCACTAAAGTTTGCCTTAAAATGTCATTGGAGAATGTTGTAAAGGATATACCATTGATTTCTAATGGTGCATGGACATATGGTGATATGATGGTAAGCATAATACTTCACATCCATTTCATATAACTGAATTGGTTTACCATATAGTGTTTGTTACTCACTTTTGGCCAGGAAGTAGAATCCAGGATATTAAAAGCTATACAACCTGAGCTTTGCCTGAATCCAATCCCAAAGTTAGACAAGCTCTGCAACAGCTCAGTTTCCTCAAAGGTAATACTTTTTGCAAAGCTTGTGTCTCTTTGTCTTGGCTCTCTAGTTTGACTTAGAGCCCATTTTGGGACTGTGTTTGCATTAGGAAAGTATCCTTCTGTCCTAACCGGCTAACATAATCTTAAATAAGTTTTAGTTTAGGAGAAGAGCTGATTTATAACCTCAAAATCCAGTCACATAAAAGTCAGCCCATTTTGGCTTTTGTGTTTAAAGAATAAAGTTTAGGTTAAAAATATGTTCTGTGTAGAAATTTGAAGTTGCAAACAGCATTTGTCAACCGCAATGCAAATAGTTAAAGCTATAAAAGACACATTCTCACCTCAATTCTCAAAACCATGCATCTAAACTGCTTTTCTAAAAAAGAGCTGAGCTTTTTCCAATCGCAACCTCTATTCTGAATTCTGCCTTACCCAGCTCTCTTGCAGTTGAACTTGGCAATAAGCACAATGCGGAGGAAGAGGCTAAGGGAGATCTCAAGGTCAGGGGATGCTGGGGCCATAATGCAGCAGTCTGCTTATGGAAATGTACATTTACAAAGTATTGGTCCAAACAATATGGAAGCAGCAAGAACCAACAATTTTTGTTCTGATGTCTCTATTCCACCCGCTTCGCCTTTGGTATCTAACCAGTTAAATCATCAAATAGGGACCGGTAGTCCAAGAACTATGCAGGATCAAAGGCCAGTTGTCATAGATTCATCAGCGGCTTCTCCTGCCATGCCAGACACAATGAGTTCTGGTCCTCTACATGGCAAAAGAGAGAATCCAGAAGAGCAATCTCATTCTCTTGCTAATTTCAATAAGAGAGCAAGATTTTCAATAATTGCCCAGGATGGCAATCAAATGCAAAACGCAGGGCCACAAATAGATAGTTTTGATGGATCCGATTCACACTGGAGGAATACACTATTACTGCAGAGGGGAGTTCCATATTCTAACACTGGCCCGCAGAGGTTTTCACAGAAAATGTTTGAAAGGGGTATGAACCTTCATGAAGCTGGAATGCCATCTGGTGTTGGGCAACAGGTGGCAAGATATGGTTTGAAGGAAGAACCCTCTGAGTTAGAGAAGCCAGTAGGACCTAGTAGAAACGAAATGCAGGCAATGGACACGGATATGAGTCATATAGATCCTCAGGTATTACGGCAACACCAAAAAGCAGCACATCAGTTCTCCAGGTCAGGTCTCCCTCAGACACAGTGGAACAATGCAAGTCAGCCCCTTGAGAACAGTGCCAGAAAGGAAGATTCGTTCCAGAAGAGGAAACAAGTTCAAAGTCCCCATTTTTCTGGCGGAGGTTTACCTCAATCTCCTTTATCATCTAAATCAGGTGACTTTTCCAGTGGTTCAGTAGGTCCTCACCAATATGGCTCTGCAGTGACAAGTGGACTTGCAGTGTCCCTGAAGGAGAAGCCTGTTTCTCTGCCGGGAGGGGCAACATCTTTCACTTCTGGTGTGAATGATTCCATGCAGAGACATCATCAAGCTCAGATTGCGGCAGCAAAACGTAGAACCAATTCTCTCCCTAAGACTCCTGCAATGAGCGGAGTTGGTTCCCCGGCTAGTGTTAGTAATATGAGTGTCCCAATAAATGCATGCAGCCCTCCTGTTGGAAACCCACCTTCGGCTGAGCAAATCATGCTAGAGAGGTTCTCCAAAATTGAAATAATAGTGGCAAGGTATAATGTGTGTGGAACTCACTGTATTAAGTTCAACCAAATCAAAAAGAGATTTGTGGTTGCACTATCTTTTTGACGTAATGTACTCCCTCTGTCCCAAAAAGAAAATTTGTTTGAAATACCTCTTTGTCCTATAAAAGAGTCCCGGTTTTATCAAATGATAAATTTAGTTACAACCAACGAACATATTTTTCATTTGAAGTATGATTCATGATTTTTCATAGTTGTAGCTTACCAAAATTTAAAAGTTGTACGTTGGTCGAACATTACTCTTTTTTGGGGGATGGAGGTAGTATATATCTTATGGTTCTAACCTCGCCTGTCAATCCACTTAATTAAACATCTTTTTATCAACATAGCAAAACCTAAAGCAGGATTCTTTTAGTGTCCCTATGTTAACAGGCTTCATTGTTGAAACCATTTAAACAACCTAGTTAGCTCTTCTCATAAAGATGTTTGGATTCTTATATTTGCACATATGCTGTCATTTTGTAAGGGTGTCCAAGGAGTCAAGGACTTCAATTTTCTACTGGGAGGAAATGAGAATGTATTCAATTAGCCAACTAAACATATTTATCGACCAACTTTTATTATTCAAGAGGAGCATAACTCAGTTGGGAAAATATAAAGAATTATATCAGCACCACAGCTATACTATTTTTACAATTTATTTCACTCAAAACAACTTTTTGAGTTTCAGGTATCAACTTAATTCCAAGAAGAATAAGGTGGATGATCGCCCTATGCAAAAACCATCTGTGTACCCAACTCAGGCGATTCAGAAATATTTTTCTAATGATTCAAACAATGAGACCATCATTGATGAAGTCTCTAAATTGTCGAAGACTGTTATTCAGGGTAGTGCAAATGTATGCAAAAGAAGAGTATTGGCTTGTACACAGACAGAGCGCATGTTTCAAGGTTTGTTCATATTGAGCCATTAAGGCTCTGTTTGACAAAACAAGCTGATAAGCTTGCTGGCATATGATATGTAATTGATAAACTAATTAATCTCAAATACTATTTGGAAAAAATTAGTGAATTAGTTAGTTTGGGAACATTAAATGATATAAAAAGATATGTTTAACATGTTTAAAAAAACGATAAGGTTAAAAATTGAGCTCTAAATTAAAGTTCTTTATCTTTTTGAAAAGTTACTTCCTCCATTTTGCTGGGAAATTCCAACATGTGCAATTTGCACTAAAAGTTGGAATTTCACAACAGGACAAAGTATTCATAAGCTAGAGCTTATCAAAGAAGTTCACCAACAAAAAGATACCTATTTGAAAAAATTCGATTAAAAAACCTTATAGATAACTTAGAAGCTGGCTTTTAGCATGCCCAATATAGCGTAACTCTTCACTGATGCATCTAATCACCTACTTGTTTTTGTTGGTTGCCTTTGTTTCAACCCGGCAACACATTCTCAGTTGTCCCAAAGGCACATATTAAAATGATAATGTCAGAGAAGCCTAGTGATGGCACTGTTGCTATGTATATTGGGGAAATTGAAGATAGTGAGTACTTTGCTGTCGAGGATTACCTACCTACGTTGCCCAATTCTGTGAGTACCAAGTCATAACCATTGAATTTTCCCACTACTTGATTTAATAAGTTTGGTGTCAGTTAATCCACACTGGACAACTTTAGCCTTGCCCTAGGCATTCCTAGTGCTGCGAACTGCATTGCCTTCTCTAATATCCAGTGTCCAGTATTAGTTGACTATCAATATGGGTATGGAACCACATCATACGGATGAAGTTGATTTCAGATCCCAGTGTAATGACATATTTTCAAGGAATAAGCGTTTTCCTAGAGGAAGAAAAATACTTTTACTTCAATAGAAGTAGAAGCTTTTGGTAGGAAATGGAAAACTGCTTTTAACAATAAAACATTAAATTTTAATGATCACTACTCTGTAATATTTAAGAAAAGCAGCCTCTTGCAGAAAAACCTGCAAGGCAAGGTTTGCCTTCATTACACCCTTGTGGTGGGACCCTTCCCCAGACTTGCGCTCAGTGGGGATGCACTATGAAGCGGCTGCCCTTAAGAAAAAAGCAGTAGATTAGTGTTTCAAAAAACACTTGTGATAAAATCACTGATACCCTAAGTCATACCTAACATGTTCATAAAAGCTACTTTAAGAATTTAATGTGATTGAATTTGGGATAGCCTTCATCTTCTGTTCTCATGTTTTTCCACTTTATGTTTTTACAGCATTTTGCAGACTTACTAGCTTCACAGTATTCCTCACTGGTAAGTTCTATTAACGATGATGAAATTTTAGCAAGAGTACCCTTGCTTACAAATTTACATGTAATATTGTTTTTTTGCACACAGATGATCCGTGAAGGATATTATGTAGAAGATAATGTCCAATCAAAACCGAAGCGTGTTCCTCATCAGCAACCCTCAAGTAGTCAACAACCTAATAATAATATGCATGGACTTTCTCCGGGAAACGACATGCAACAATATTCTTCCGATGGACTTCCTTTGGGACCACCCCCTGAAAATTCCAAATCACCTAACAGTGTTAATGCTTCTTTCAACTCAAACATTCAAGGCACAAGATCTCTACCCCCTGGGAGTACACAGTCATTACAACAACTACCACATAGGACACATGAATCTGAGATGCTGCCACCTCAGCAGCAACAGCAACAAAATCAGCAGCCGTCTTTGATTCAACCCCAGCAGCAGTTCCAAAGATCACCATCCATGATGATGGCTGCTAATCATTTGAATGGAGGAGGAACTACTAACCACTTGTCTAATAAACCTTCCCCCCTCCAACTTCAGATCCTACAACAACATCAACATCAAAGGAAAATGATGATGGGTCTTGGAAATGTGAGTATGGGAAACATGAACAATAGTATGGTCGGGCTTGGTGGACTGGGCCATAATGTAATGGGCAGCATGGGTGTCAGGGGGGGCTCTGGGATATCTGCACCAATGGGTTCTATTCCAGCAATGGGCAACTTGGGTCAGAACACAATGAATGTGGGCCAGGCATCAAATATTGCAGCGATGCAGCTTCAGTCCAATCCAATCATGGCGTCAAAGTTGAGAATGATGAACAGATACAACATGTTGGGGGGGAGTCCACAATCAAGCATTGGTAAATGTCAAACTACAACTAATACTACTCCCTCCGTCCCACAAAACTTTCTGGTTTTGACTTTTAAAGGATTTAAAGGGAGTGTATTTTGGAGTTGGCTTTCCGAAAATTCCCTTTGATGTGATGGGTGAAAGTAGATGTGATAGGTAGATTAATAGTGAAAAGATGTGACGTGATAGGTAGGTTAAGAATTAGTAGGGGTAAAAGTGACTTTTTAATAGAAATGAGAAAGGTTTTTCGGGATGGATGAAAAAAGAAAGGGAAAAGGTTTTGTGGGACGGAGGGAGTATTATTTATACTACGTTTTCTTTTCACTTGATTCTTTCTTAAGACTAACTACTAATATTGGAAAATTATGTTTGGGGCCTATTTGGCTGGTGGCTTTTGGAGAGGATTGGAGGGGAAGACTTTGGAGGGCTTAGTCTAGATTCTAGATATCTTGATATATGATATGTATCTGTAGGACCATAATATGGGTGATACACATAACATTATGCTTATCTTTTTACACATGCTGAGAAAAATATCATTTAACAAGATATATAGACCATGGTGCTACAAAACCTTGCATCCGAAGTCCAAACGGGCCTCTAGAATATCTGCTAGTAGCATACTCTAACCTATTACATGTACTTTAACAGCAGGTATGCCTGGAGGAGGTAGACAAATGCTTCCCACCACAGCTGCTAGTCTTTCAATGTTGGGACCCACTGTTCTTAATCGTGGTAACCCAATGCAACGGGCACAGTTGGCTACAATGGGCCCACCCAAGTTGATGTCGTCCGGGATGAATCTATACATGAATCAGCAACAGTTGCAACATTTTCAACAACAGCAGATGCAGCAACGACAGCAGCAGCAGCAGCAGACACAACAGCAACAACAACAACTAGAAACACCGTCTTCTCCTCCTCCTCCTCCTCCACAGACCGTAGTAGCTACGCCACCTCCACAAGTAGTCGGGTCACCATCAAGCATGGGCATCATCCCGCAACAAATGAACCAGCAACAACAGCAGTTGAGCCCACAGCAGCAAATGGGCCAACGAACTCCCATGAGCCCACAACTCAGTTCAGGGGCTATACATCATCATCATCCCATGAGTGCTGGTGGTAATCCAGAAGGAGGAGCTTGCCCGGCCAGCCCACAGCTTAGCTCTCAAACCATGGGGTCTGTTGGCAGTATGTCCAACTCTCCAATGGACCAACAGCAGCTGCAAGGTGTGAATAAGAGCAATTCCGCAAGTTAGTTAGTTAGTTACTATATTGTATTGTACTATAAGTTTCTCTGTTTTTTGGGTTAACATGTTACGTGCCATATATATCTTAACTTTGTAATATTATCATTATTAGGGTGAGACTAAATTCACGTCCAAATTAGCTATATCCATACTTTTCCTCTAAATTTGCTAAATTCACACCAATGTCAAACTTATATTAATGAGTGTGTATTGACCATATTTAGGTGAAAAATGTGGATATATCCATTTTGGGTGTGGATTTAGCAACACCCTTATTGTAATCGGCACCGATATAATTCATTTTCTGAAAAATTTGGGTTACCGTTATTTCAAACTTAGCAGAAATATATGGCTAGCGGTGGTGTATTGCGAGTCCCAACCAACCATTTTTGGCTGTTTACAATGGCGAAGAAAATATGGAGTAACACTTGTAGTTGTATCATCTCGTTGTTACAACCAAATTTTCAAATGGATTAAAATGAGGAAATTTAGCTTGGTCATTCTTTTTAATATAAAAATGTGGCAAATTTTCGGGATCAAATGACTCTGTTTGTACAATGCAGATATCAAATCTAAATTTTAGTTTTGAGACTCTAAGCTTTTTTGACCAGTTTTTTAAATGTACCAATTAAATTGAAAATTTTAGCTTGATGGCTCCCTTTGCATGTAAAAATATGCAGTAAACTTTCATAGCCAAATGACTCGTTTGCACAGCACAAAAGTCAATTTTAAGTGTTGGTTTTGAGACCCTAGGCACGTTTCTTTGGGAAACCTTTCAAAAGAAAAAATTAATGAAATTTTTCTTGAATGCATTTTTTTGTGTGTAAAAATATGTAATGAAATTTAAAAATCAAATAAATCACCAATACAGCGCAAAACTCAAAATCTAACTCCACCTCGATTTTTCAATGAATTTTTCAAATTCAATAAAAAATTATGAAATTCGTCTTTAAAGTTTCTTATTAGTGTAAAAATCATGTGGTGAAAATTTAAGACTCAAATGACTTGTCTTAACGTCGCAAAATTCAAATTTTTGTTTTTGCTTTGAGCCCATAACATAATACTTTTTGGAGCAATATTTGAAATGAACCAAAAAATAGAAGAAATTTTGCTTGATTGTTCTTTTTTGCATGTAAAATATGTTGTAAAAATTCAGGACCAAATGAATAGCCTATACATTACAGAATTATAAATTTTGATTTCAAGCCCCTAAGTGTACACACACAGTTTTTGGCCAATTTATCAAACGAGCCAAAAACTCACAAAATTAAGTATGAGTGTTCACCCTTGCATGTAAAAACATGTGGTAAAATTCCGGGGTCAAAATGGTCAAATGACCAGTCACAAAACTCCCTAATCCCCAAAGGTAAATTACATGTTTGGTTGGTGTGTCAAGGCAAGTTGCCTACAAAATGCAGAACTTGTCACAGAGTGGTTCAATCAACATTCCAATGGCTACCTATATGCATACTGCTTGGAGAGCCAAAAACCTTAAGGCCCTGTTTGGTACACGGAATTCAAACTGTAGAGTTGGAATTGGAGACAACAATTCCAATTCTATTATTTGATAGCACAAAAATACGTGGATTTGGAATTGGTAGTGCTAAAAATAAATTGAAATTGGAGAATTCGATTACATCCAAATCAATTCCATGGAATTTCAACTCTCAGTTTAATTCCAATTCCGTTAATTCCGTGTACCAAACAGACCATAAGGGTTAATTTCAGTGCAAATATTTGCAATTGTGTCCATAATAACATCTACCTTGAGCATAATAAGAACATGGCCTCCTCTTTTCATGACATCTCTGCCCCCCTGTACCTGGATGAACATTTCCACCATAACCATTCCAATGATAACTAACCGCCTGGAAATTCTCTCCGACCCGATGGCTAGGATTCATGTTCTGATGCCAGTTTCCTGGTGTTCTGTAACTTCCATATTGTGTCATATTAGCATCTGAAAGAGCAGGTTGCCTTTGAGTGTACTGCCCCGTCTTCAATGGACTCCTCGTCATAGGCTGTTGTGCAGATCCATACTGTCCTTGTGGAAGAAGCCGGCTGTCGTGCAATGGCATCCTTGAAACGTGGAACGAGTTAGGCCCTCCATAAAAAGGCTGTGGCAGATTCGTTTCCCTCTCATTGTGTAAAATTGCTTGATCTTGTTTGGTTTTAGCCATGGAATCCTGCTTCTGGGATTCATTCTTTATATTCTCCTTATTTTCTGCGGCTGCCGTTTGCTTTTGGCATTCTGCTTTCACCATCCTGTCATGTTTTGCGATCATATAACAAATTTTAAAATTCTTCCACACTAGTTTTTTTTATAGTTTTATTGATATAGTACCCAAAAGATAGGTCCTAATCACTTCAGGATTTGAAAAATGAAATTTTTTTTGTTTGGGATCTGAACGATTGAAAATTTCTTTGATCCAAGGCTTCTGAACTTTGATATATAATCCACGAAAGAATTTTCATAACATAAGAACAACTAAAATAATACTCCCTCCGTCCATAATTTATCTTCCTACTTTCCTTATTTGTCTGTTCATAAATTATCTTCCTATTTCCTTTTTTGGCAAATGCTTTTTCTTTAAACCACATCACTACCATCACCTTTACCCATTAATTACAATCTTTACCTACACTTTATTTCACATTTTGCAATGACCCAAAGACAAATATGGAAAGTCAAAACATTTTTTACTTTTCCTTAATTTGCGTGTAAAGTCAAAGAGGGAAGATTATTTTTGGAAGGAGGGAGTAAGGATTTGAAATTGATGACTTCTTCCAGTCTTGAAATCAGGTTTTAAAGGGAAATTTTTTTTTTCTTTAATTACCTATTCAGCTTTAGCTCCTGTTGCATTTTCTTTTTCTCCACACGTACTTCCCTTTTTGCTCTGGCAACAGAACCCCTCCTGTGTTTTTCTTCTAGATTTTTTTGCCGCTGTCCTTCATCTTCCCATCTCTTGATCAAAAATAACGCGAAATGTAAGCGAAACATACAATGATGATCATATATACAACAATGTAGCCCACTCAAATGTAGAGTCTAGGAGGGGCAAGATGTAGAGACCTCCCGATAAACAATGAAAAGCAGTGTGAGTAGTGAAAAAACATAAGAAGAAATAACAACACAGAAGAGACAGATTTTATTATATGTTAGCAAACAAAACCTGTCTCATTGTTTTTAACCGATAAAGGTTTCTTCCCTTGATGAGGAGGGGATGCAGTGGAGGAAGCGGTTTCTCCCCTTTGCTCCATAGTACTTCAATCTGGATAAAAAAGAGAACATAAAAAGAGAACAGAAATCCCAAGCTATGATTAATGGACATTTCCAATTATTCTCAAATTACTTCTAGATTGATCAATATGATGGTTTTTGTGGTCAAGCAAAATTTCCCCATTCTTTCACACAGAAACCAGATCAAAATACAATGTTTTTAATCCAATCTGCCAAGCTCATATACTAGTTTGACATATAACTACGATAGTTTGGTGTATGTGAGGAGCTCACAGTGAATGTATGTTGTTGTTTAGCCATGCCATAGCTCTCTTTAACAATTCTTCCAGCAATGGTCCTTGTACCGCATAGAGGCCCAGTAGCAGACCTGGATGCAATGTTAAACCTGCAGGTAGAAACCATTCAGATCTTTAGTACCAGTGTAAATAAAAATTATGGTGAAAAACAACTTACTATATGTAGAAAATATCAGACATTTAAGAAAATAGGGTAATATTATTCTTTTCGGGAAAAAAAACTTACGTTTCATATACATTTTGTTCAAAGAAGACAACATCTCCAGTACATGCATCACCTGCACAAATTCCACCAATTTTAAGCTCTCAGACCAACCTTGATTGGTATAAGTGAGAGGAAGCAAAACATTTTAAGGAGTGGAGTCAACCATAAATAAAATACGAGTAGATAAATAAAAAGAATGGAATGAGTAACTTTATACTTTCCTCATTGAATAAAATGTCTCAATATGTTTGTTCTATCAAATACTCTGATTTCAAGAAAAGATGTTATTAGTTAAGCACTATGTCAAACAAGAAAAAACAGTAGTTTTGTTCTATAAAATACTTTATTTTTGTTCTATGTATTTTTTTTAATAAAAAAAGTATGTCAAACAAGATAAATATGTTAAATTTAGTTAAACTACTTTTCTTCCAGCTAGAAATTATCCACATTCACTAGTCTTTACAAAAGGCTGGGAATTTTCAACGAGGCAGAGGGAGTAAAAAATAACTCCAAAATTAATATATTGAACTATTGTCACTATTGTACCTTATTAAAGTTAATGTTAAAAATTTATTTAATTGCTATTTTTATAAGACGAAAAAAGTATCATACCCTCTCCATCTTCTCTCCATAACGAAGGCAATATTATTTGGTATAGGCTTGAATTAACTTTAAACAAGTGAAGTGATGATTCGGATATTTCATGAAGATGAGGATACCTTTGCAGTTCAATACAAAACTAAATACAGGGTACATCTTCTCTCCATCACCATTCACAATACTGAAAGCACAAAAAGAAAATAATGTATTATTAGGTACTATGGAGTAATATACTTCTTCCATCCCATAAATATGTTCTCGTTTTGACTTTTAGGAAATTTAAGGAAGGGATGATTTTGTGTTGACTTTCCAAAAATATCCTTAATGTGATTGATAAAAGTAGGATCTGATGAGAAGATTATTAGTAAAAAAATATGATGTGATATGTAAGTTAAGAATTAGTAGAATTAAAAATGTTTTTTTATTAGAAAAATAAAGGCTTTTGTGGGACAAGAAAAAAAGGGAAGGAGTTTATGGGGCAGAGGGAGTATAATTTACAATTTGTAAAGTGAAATCAAGCAACAGCAGAAATATGGAATGGAGGGATTTACTCGATATGCTCCTTTATGCGTTGAATAAGAGTAGCTTTGTTTCCAGTCAATCTCAACCTATGCTTTCTTAAATAGATCTTGCATTGATCAACTTTTAGCTTTTGAACATCACCAGCTGCCCCCAAAAACTTACAGTTAGCTGATGATTTTGAGATCATATAATTAAATAGAGCAATGATATATTCACACCCAACATAGGTGCCATGTTATGACCGGAGAATTTGAGAACCCTATGGTGCAGCCACTTCCTAGTCTCCCCTGTTATGCTACAGTTTTGCTGTTATGTTCGAACGGAGCACCGTAATACCCTCAAATTGTTTAAAAAGAAAATCAAAGAATTAAACAATACTTGGGCAAACCTTGAATCATGCTCTGAATTTTCTCATAACTGTTCTGGTCATTTTCACCAAGTTCTTTGTCGTGGGTTTCAGAAAAATCTTCCCCTTCCGTGTCACCATCATTAGAATCAGAAACACAAACCCTGCATAAAGGATAAACACCCTTAAAGAACCAAACCATTGCTAAGAAGAACACTGAGAAGAGACCTGCAAAGAGTCTCTCAGGAATTTCTACAAACATGTGGTGTGCCACAAGAAAGAAACATGGTTTACCTGGACTTGGTTTTCTTGGAGATGGAAATTTTAGAAAATTTAGATTGTGTGTCTTCAAGAATGTCGAAAGTTGGGTCATTTATGGAGTCGTCGGAGTCATACGTGTCAGCGTCGGATTCTCCGGTGTAGTTCTCCTCCTCCTCGTAGACGAAAGCCATTTTTTCTGCGTTCACAAATCTCAGCCAGGTTAAGGCGAGGGGGGTTTAAGCTTTTTAAAAAGTACGGAGTACTAAATTTTTATGACCGTTGCAAATCATTGCAAAATTTTCACGGAAATTTCAAATAATTATCTTTGGGCAATGCGACCCAAAATATATTTCCTTTTTAGCCAATTTATAATCCTTAATGATACAAAGTACTACTTTATTTCTCCAGTTTTGACTTTTTCGATTAACTGTTTTTAATGTTTGATATATATTTAAATATAATATATATTGTTTATCAATTAGATAAAATAATATTTTAAAAATATTTGATACAATAAAGCTAATAAAACTATATTTGTATCAATATCTAATATAGAGTGTCATTTTTATTTAATTTGAAGTCAAAATTTACTAATTATGACTAAAAGCTAAAAGTGAATAAATACTCAAGGATAGATGGAGTAATTGATAATAAGATTGGCAATGCGACGACAAAGTGACACAGAACAACACGAGCCGATGGCCAGCGGGACTGGGTTGGTAGTCTAAAATACTTCCTCCCCTAATTATTTACACATTCTATTGTTCAAAAATCGTGAAAACTTTCATTTATTTTTGTATTTTCATTTACTATTTGGTAAAATAAAATATTTTTGTTATTTTTTTGTTTTGTAGAATTTTTTATTAACTTTTTAAATATATAATTTTTATTTTTATATTTAATATTTATATAGCAAAAATTATATTTTTATGTTTTGCAGAATAATTATGAATTATACAGGTATGATCAAATACTATGTGTGACAAAAATAGTGAGACGAAAAATTAACAAAAATAATGGGATGGGAAGTGTACATTTTAGTTTTTATTTGGTATTTTGTTCTCCTCTAATAGTCTAATGTGGTACTATTAACTTTTTGTAATTAAGAAAAATATACCATATTGGGTGAATTAAACAAACGGGCCAATAATGTAAGGATTCTTTCCAGGGCGCAGTTTTTTGTATCACACAATCATTAGTTTCATTTTAAAATCTAAATTTAAAATAACATATTTTTGATGTAATCTGATATTATTAGATTTATTTTAAAATCTAATTTTAAAATATCTAATTTTAGTATCATTAGATTCATTTTAAAATCTAATTTTAAAATTATGCAATGAATTTAATTATAATCAAAGGATGCCGGGAAGCCATGATAAAATAGGCAATCTTAGGGACTGTTTGTTTCAGCCTCTTAATGGTTCATATGTCTGAATGGTTCAACACTTAATGGTTCAGACTGTTTGTTTCAGAGATTTGCCTCTGAAACAAATCTGAATGGTTAAGAGATTTGCCTCTCTTAAACAAATCACTTAATGTTTAAGAGATTTGCCTCTGAATGGTTAAGTATTATACAGAGCCTGAATGATTAAGACCTCTTATCTGAATTGATCAGACATTTGCCTCTGAATAGTTAAACAATATACTAGCTCTTAATGATTCAGACCTCTTACTGGTTCAACACTTAATGGTTCAGACCTCTTACTGGTTCAGCACTTACCTATTCAGAAGTTGTCAAATAGCCCCTTAATTTAAGAAAGAGAGTATGAATAATTCCCATCATTTCTCTCGTCTACATAAAGCCATCTAATTTAGTACTTTCTCTATCTCGTAACAAATGTTACTTGTAACAAATTTTGGCCCAGAATTAGATTTATTAAAGAAAGAAAGACCAAAGTAGGACTAAAATATTAAAAATATATCAAAATAGGACTTTTATATTTTTATTCTCGAAATAAAACTTACATTACCAAACATGGTCATATAAATTACCAAAAAAGTATAGTAATTTGCACATGTACACTACCACATACAACAGGGCAAAAATCACATTATCACAGTGCAAAATTCTATTTTGGGAAAAAACATAAAAATCATATTTAATTAAAATATTGGTCAAAAAATTAAGAAAGTTACCTATATATTTAAAATTGATACTGAACTAAAAATCTAATCCATAAACAAGGAACGATGTGATGATAATATTTTGACAAATGAGCAACATAATAAACAAAGATGACAAAATTTGACAAAGCAATCTTGGGACACAACCCCATAATTATCCGTATGAGTCTATTTAAAAACAATCTCAGGTACAAAAAATTGATACAATTTCAAGTACAATAATTAAATTGAATGTTTTTGTATAGTACATGAACTCCATACTTTTAACCCCAAAATTGCATACATTCTCCGCTAATGTGACTTGTTTTTCTCAACAAATGTACAGAAATATGTGCCCCAAATCAACACCCATAGACACATACTATATATATATATATATATATATATATATATATATATATATATATATATATATATATATATATATAACAAAGAGCAAACATGACTTCACACATTGTAGACAACAAATACTATAGGATACTCACAACCAATTGGCATCACATCCATCTCTACCATCTTTACGTGCTATTAAAAAACAAACGTACCCCAAGCATTAGCCTAGAAATTCATCTAATCTTGGAGTCGCTTCCCTTGTTGCTACGAAAGGTTGGCAATGAAAAAAATGACTTCGGAGCTGTAAAAAACCAAATAGAAACCGTTACCATGGGAGGAATGCTTAGGTTGAGACTAGGGCAATAAAAATAATACCAAACTTCGGATGCGGTCCTTCAACATCTATACTATGCATGAATTAAGGACAATGGATATGAAGTATTTTCATAGTAAAATGTGACACCTTTTAGTGAGCTCCCGGATAAATGATCATCTGTCAGCTTGAAGTTAGCAGGAGGGGCTGGAATAGCACTCTGCAAGGATTGACCTGCAAGATGATTTTTTTTAATAAACCCAGGAACAATGCTCTGAATAATTTAGACTTATAACAATCATGTGTAAAACGCATATGTTACCTTCTCCGCCTAAACACTCGTGTTCAATGAAATTATCATCAGAAGGATGCCCTCGAGAAAAGCCCATTCTGGATTTCCGCAAGTCATCACATGAATGATTGGAAGGATCTCGTCCATCTTCAGTATCATCATCACCTTCAGATGTAGTGGCAGAAAACTTGTCAACCAAGCTTTCCATCCCACGGGGTTTCCTTCCAAATTTTAGTAGTCTCTTAAACCCCCGGGTCACATCCTTGCATGACTGACTCTGGGAAGAACTAACAGCCAGTATGGGTTTCTGAGCACTTCCCCACTTTTTCCTCCTAGTTCTAGAAGCATCATCAACCTCTGGTTGGCTTAATGACTGAGATTTCCATGAGGTTGGACTTCCCACTGAGGAACAATCCACAGAGCCATCAATATCTGGCAATTCATGAGGATAAGAATGCGAGTTCCAAGACACTGGACTTTCTCCTGGTGAATTTTCCACGTGTTCAGTAGAGTTTAGTTTAGATGGAGCAATAGTAGCCAATTCAGCTACCATATAAGGGTCAATATGAGCAAAAGATCTCACGAGATCACCATTTTCAGACCCAAAATCTGTTGAAACCTCAGATTCATGACAACTCTGTCTCAAACCCACATTTTCTAATTCTTCATCGCCTCCTTCATGCCTGACTGCATTGATTATTGGATCCTCGGGTTCAAAGATCGCATCTTCATACTCTTCTTCATCGCTGTTGAAGGTCTCAGGTGCGATAGAGTCTTTCTGCATCGAAAAATTGACTCTTGAACTAATATCTGTGCTTTTACTCTTCTTATGGAAAGGTTTTGAGTCCAGCTTCTTTGTATATTTATTATTGACTCTATCTTTGTGGTCCTTTAATGGTGTCAGAACAACATCTTCAGAATTCAAAAAATCTGCCTCTTTGCAATCCCCCACATTTGCAGAGTTTTTTCTTAAAGGTTTTGATCGTCGAGATTTATCTTCTTTGATGAATACCTCTTCTCTAGTGCTTCTGCCATGAGAAGAACTTCTAGAATGTAAACGTGTTGCTTTAGTAGATGTAGATGAAGGTTTTGCATTCTCTTTTCTCATGTCTGGTGAGAAATTTGGGACAGACTGTGCAAGAGGATTTTCAGAGTTAGATTTTCTCCTACCCAGGTTGCTATTAGTAGTCTTTACGGAAGACCTTGCCGGAACAGTTGCTGCTGAGATGCGAGGAGATGATAACGAAGATGAACTTTTAGAAGGTAATAGTTTCTTAGCTTGAGCACTCCTACAAGCATCTTCAAAAGAAAAATCATGTCTTGCATTGAAGTAACTTTCTTCCACGTACTGCTTCGCATCGGGATATTTTTTCACACCTTCACTTTCACTTTGCTCAAAATNTAATTTTAGTAAGGTACAACTATTGGAAGTAATCAATTCAAGCTATATACTTTAAGTTATGTGCTAATTTTTTTTTAAAAAAGTAATATATATAACTTGTGTTGGACATATTCTGAAAAAATACATGCAATATAGCAAAATCATCTTCTTTAGTTGAAATTGGACTATTTTTTTAAGAGGGGGGGGGATAATTTTCAAGAACTGTTTTAGATGGAACACGAAGTTAGGATGATACCTTCTCTCTCTGCATTAATGCCCTGCTATTAAATGACCTGAGTCTTTCAGTCCGTCTGCGGATACTGGAAACTGAATCATCTTTATATGCGGATCCCGAAAACTTAGCTCTCATCTCTACTCTACTCTTTTCAAAGATTTTCTGCATTGCATTTAGCCTGGCTTCCTTCTCAGCTCCCTTCAAATTCCACTCTTGCCTTAATTTTGCATCCCTTACTTGTGTATATCGCTCGTAGAATTTTCCTCTAGAACTTTCTGAAAAACTATGTTCAGAGAAGTTCTCATTTAGACCATCCATGTGAGGATGTTTGTCAGATATTTTCATAACAGGAGAAATCTCAGATCTGCCCAAGTCACTTGAACTCCTAGCAGGTTCATCCAACATGGATTTATCTGGAAAGATGATCGAAGCATTATCAATTACAGTATTCCTACTTGAGTGTGACTGGTTTTGAATCTCTGCAGCCCTGTTTCTCCTATAAAAATTTAACTGATGATCTACGGGAACACGCTGCTTATGCTCAGCAAATAGTTTCTCAAGCTCATTTGCTTTGAGCTTCAACTCATCGTTGAGTTCCTGGTGGTTTCCTTTTGATTGATGTAACTTCTGAGCCAGCTCTTTTGGGAGTTCAGAAATTGAACCATAGCCCTCCTGAGCCTCCTTGCCATGTTTGGCAGAGAAGGCTGTTTCCTCACTTCTAAAAACAGAAGTGGCCTGTTTTGTGACATCTGCTTGCTTCTTAAACTTCATCATTGGGTATTCTGTATCACCAAATGTTGATGAACTACCACCCACTTTCTCAAATTCCCCTGACGACTTACACAAGGGCTGAGTACGTGAAAAAACACCATGTTCAATCCCTTCATTGCAAGGAGCCAACATAGTTTCTGTTTTATCCCTTGTAATAGAGCCACTTTCTGACAACCCAGAGACCTCTATAGTTCTTTGATTGGCCATGGACGGTAAATGCAAAGATGATGAATCATCTAATTGGGTTCTTTCTTTTTGGCATTTATTAATAAGTGCAGAGCAATTTTTATCACCAGAGAGCCCAATAATGCTGCTATTCTCCCTGGCATAGGATCCAAACTGCTCTCTTGATGACGAGTTCTCATCCTTACTTGTTTTGTCCAAAGGCAAAGTGCTAAACAGCCCCGGTTTCATTGCTTCTTTCGAACAGTTGTCACCAGTTAGATGATGCTTCAAACCATCACTTTCAACGTAGCTGGAAAACTTTGTATTAATATTACTGAGTTTAGAATGCTGTTCCTTGTTACTTGAACTTGCAGCCATATCAGTCGAACCTGATTGCCCATAACCTTCAGATTTGGACTGAGAAACAGAGGCAGAAGATGGGGTGCACAGTGGACTCTCACCAATTTCCCTTTCACCGCTCAAATCAATGCTCATGTCACTGACCCCACTCCATCTCCTTAACACAGCCTTCTTCTCAACTCGGGGCTGGGCAGGCGATACGACATCAGTTGAGAGTCTCCGACTATCAGATTTTACCACAACAACTGGCTTCTTCACCACATTTTCCTTCTGCTTGCTCTCGAACATGTTGATACGCTCTTGAACACTGAGCCGCCTCATGGGCTGACTCGTGTGAGTCGACTCGGTGGGTAAAGCATTATCATCTTTTCTCTTCTCCTCTGGTTGACGAAGATGTTGCATCGGAATGGGGTCAGAATCTTGGCAGGTAGAGTGGGATCTGATGGCTTGAGTGTTTTGGGAAACCAGGTCATCATCTATGGACATGTCCGAACCGCATGAGGATCGTACAACCCGATCGTCTGCTCCCACTTTCCATTGGTTGATTATTTCCCACCGTCTCTCACACAACGATATGAATTTGGAGCAAGCTTCACTGAAAAATATATGTAGGCTTTAGTTCGTTTTTGTATTCATATTTATTACTCACTTTGTCTGTCCGTCCCAGAAAGAAAAAAATGTCATGTTTGACTTTTCATTGAGAGTGCTCTCGGAATTGGAGTAGAGGTAAGATATGCATACCCCTCACCCCCATAGGACTTTAATCTCATGCAAGATATACTGGGTTTGTTTAGTTTGAAATCAAGAAAAAAACTCACACATTATGAATGTTCCCTTATACCCCTGAAATGACGGTATACTATGAATTTACTTTAAAATGAAAGTTAACTTTTGAAACCGGACTCTTTTTTGGACAAAAAAAGAGCTCTTAAAATGTTTTTCTTTTTCGAGGAGGATGGAGTATTAATCAATACACTTAAATGTATATAATCATAAAGCTACTACCGAGGAAATTATAGTAATGAAGTTACATCTTTTTGAATCACTATTCTGAATTTTTATACTATGAATGTTTCTTGTAGATTTACTCATAAATAGTCGGTTCACAAAGACGTGGAAAAATGAAGAATGAGTATGGCATTCTTACTTCAACTGACTGGTGCCAAACTGATTAGCAAACAATTTAAGTTCTAAAACGGTGTCCATGTCGAAACCAGCTGCGAACGCATGAGAGCACGCTGTCATCAGGTCCTGTTGAACTGCAGTAAGCCGCACATCAATGGCTTGCAATAGCTCCCTCCTGTGTATATAAATGTGCATTAATGTTATTAAATATCATGCCCAAATGAAGAATAATCATTCTTTTACACATGGAGGAGAGGATGTGCAATATTGCTGCAAAAAAATACGGAGTATCAGAAAAAAATGTTTCATACTGTAGAGTGTAGATTTTATTGGAAAGTTGTTATGCTCTGTGAACTTTTTCCCAAAAAGTCCATATTTTACAAGCTTCTTCAGAAATAGCAAAGAATATTAAACTTGGAAAAATGTATTCCTAAACTTATACAGGTCGTACTCTTCTTCATCTTCTTCCTCCTCTTCAGGATCGTAATATTGAACATCTTCAAAGCACTCTTAACAATCACAAGAGCTACACAGGAATGTGCATCACACGCTTATTCTTCTTCTTTGGTATCACTTTGGAGTTCGTTTGTATTCTTTTTATCTTTTTACTTATCTAAAACACACACAGACACACACACGCACACACGAAGTAGGAAAGAGGGGTATATTACTTTGTTGCATCAGCTGCTGCAGTGCCTCCAGAACCATCCTCACCTGTAACCAATGTAGAACTAGTAATATTGTCTCTTCACTTCAACAAAATGCCAGAACTACAACACACACACACACACGCTCCTAAATCTGCCAGAAATCGTATCTGATGGGCATCTAAAAAGAAGCAATTTCATGGAAGTTACAGTTTTTCTTATTTTTTGCCCCACTTGAGGGTTCTGATGATGGAAATCCTCTTCAAGGAGTTCGCTTAATGCATAGCACTAACCGCAAGCTAGATTTCAAGTCATTGTCAACATATTCTAGTTGGTACTCTGTAATATTTTTGAGCATGAAATGATATGGTACCAAATGGGACTATGGGGATGAAGTTGTATACATGTTATAAATGAAAAAAAATATTAGCATTGTTATGTTTCTCATTCCCACGTGTATAGGTGCATTTAATGATCCATAGTGTTTGGCAAGTACAAGTTGAACAATAAAGATGTTATAGCACTGGGGTAAAAATTGATTTGTAGTTGTTTGATTCATTTAATGAGAATCCACTCATAATCAGTGTGGGAAGCTGTGAGTGAGGTCAAATAGATTGTATGTGTACGGAAAAGCATACCCAAACCAGAAAGCTTGCCATTCATTCCCTGATTGCAGTTAAAGAAAAAAACGAGTGAGACCCAGTGCAAGCTACTAATGCCAATAATATGATTTGAACACAATTTTATTGGTGAAAGATTATGCTACCTGCGAGTATATTCTCCGAGCTGATTCAAGTTGTGACATTTCAGCATCAAAGTTATTTACAACCTCCAAAACCTCTGGGGTGCTAACAAATCGTACAAACCTGAAAAGAAACAGAAACCAGCTACTTAGAAAACAATTCCATCTATTACCTCTATTCTAGAAGCTTCTCAAGGGTGCCCTTACCTTTCAAGTGTCCCCTTTCGGAACCATAAGTGAGCATCTTTAAGCCCTCCAACGTCAAGCTTAATAGACTGCATTGCTGAGGCAACTTGTTTTTCTGCGACTTTTAAATATGTCACAAATGACTTGAAAACCCCTGAAGCTAGCTTCTCTGTCTTTCCATTTGTGCTCACAAACAAGTCACATCTACAGATATTTAAAATATTAAAAAAAGCTTTCATTCCAGTGTCACACTTGTAAATGCATCTTAAAACTAAACCAAACAACTGAATAAAATGGGGCAAAGTCCTTACCGCGTACGCTTTGGTGACAGTTGGAGCAACACACAATCAAGAGGAGTGTCGGGTTCCATTTTTCTCCTCCGTGGATGAATAACAAGGAAATGCAGAACACTTAACCCTCCAGCCTAAGAATATCATAAGAACACCAAAATCAAACCAGAGCAACTTCAAGAATCTATGAACTTGACGAGTTCATTTAGCAATGAGAGGGAGAGAATCATTGATTGTACTACTAAAGGTGTGAGTATCTTGAAGATAAAAAACAGAATGAAAAACAGACTGAAAAACAGAAACATTGGCCCAAACAATCATTCAACAGCTCAAAACAGAGTATACATGGCAGATTGAAGACCTGCCACCCCAATCAGATCCAAACACTCCTTCGGATCTATAATCATTAGAACCCAGCATTCAAATTGAACACAATCAAATACGCAATTTGAAACATCGGAAAGAAATAGCGAGCTCAAGCCAAGCTCAAACTGTATCAGAGCACAATCAAATACGCAATCGGCGCGAAAATTGAAAAAACCCTAGAAAACCCGGATCACCGCCCACCTAGAAATCGAAACAATCGAATGAATCGAAACATCATACCTTTTGACGATATGAATGCAGAGAAAGATCGCCGCTACACTCGCTGGATCGTCAGATTCACACTAGCCCGGGGAACTCTAAGTTTGTTCAGCTGCCGACCCAAACAGAACACGCCTTAAAACCCCACATTCATAGCTGTGCTCGATGGTGATGGCGATGGCATTGATGATGACGGTTGATTGCTTTACTCATCATCATCATCATCCATTCATCATCTCTCAAATCTCACACACACACACACACTCTCTCTCTCTAGAATGTAGACAGAGAGAGGGAAGTGATAACTAAGCAAAGTGTTGAATTTGATTAGTTTAATTAAGACAAAAGTAATGATTTTTTCTTGTAGTTCGATTAGCTTAAGACAAGTGATTTTTCATTCTTTTGATGTCTTGGGAAAATCTTTAAATTTTGACTGGGGAGAAAAGACAAAAGAGACGTACCTTTCACTTTTGTAGAGCTGGAGCTTTCTTCTCCAAGAGATTTCCTTCATCATATTCATATTCATATTCATGGAGGAAGTACTGTAAATGGGATCTTTGGGAGAATTTTTCAAATTTATTGCTTTCGCTCCATTTGTTTTCTTGTCCCCAAATTTAATACGAGTACATTTTAGATACATTTGACTAGTTTAGGACATTGACTAAAATTTACACAATATACTCCGTATAATTTATCGTTGATTTCTTGATGGGTCACTTCCCACAACATTGATTTGATGATCTGGGATGCTCCGGTGCCACGTTCATAAATTTGGCGGTTCTATCTTCTCTAAATCTCTTATTTAACTAATATTTTCCTCTAAAATTTTTATTTTAATATAAATTTCATGTTCAATTTTACTTTTAAAAAAATCTTATAATCTAGTCTTATGAGCTACTCCTTCTAAAGCATGGGCCTCATCCAAAACTTACTTTAGTTTAGAGTACCTTCATTAATGTCATTAGATCATCATTTACTACGTAGTAATAAAAATAAATTTATAAAAATTAAAATTCTTGTGGATGACAAGACAATTTGTTTAAATATTTTCGCTGAGAGAGAGGATGAGTGTGTGGGAGAAAATTGGGTAGAAGTGGAACTCATATACGGGTAATTGGTGGATAGATAGACGAAATGAATTGTAGGTATTTGTTTTAAAAATAAAATTATATTCAAAGGCAGGTGATGTGAAAATGACATAGATGAGAAAATTAAAAGTGATTAGGTACATGATTTGTAAAATAAGAAATAAAAATTCTAGTGTCCCTCCTCATATCCAAACTCATAACCCCTCTTACCTTCATCTCTCCTTATTTATCTCGTAAAGGGCAAAACTTCAAAGGTTAACTTTTTAAATCTAACCCAGATTTTTTTACATAAGAGATATCTCAACTTTGAGATTTAGGAAGTATAACGGAATGGTACCACTTCTTTAATTTATAACAAAAACATATCACATTTCAAAATCTATAACAAAAAGGTAGCATTAGCTGAAATCTAGAGAATTCGGCTTGCGAGTGGTTGTGCAACTTTCATGTTGGCTTTCTAATATATATCCGACAATCTAAATGACTTTTTAAAAAATAAAAATCCATACACAATGTATAAAGTGTGTTTAATTGATAGATTCTGAATTGAATCTAGTGAATTAAAATATAAAAAATAGACGTATAAAAGCTGAGTGGGGGGATTGAGAGGATGTTTGAGAGTGATTAGCTTATTGATAAAGTAATTTCTACAAAAGCTGAAACCAAAAACACCTCATACCTGCTTCTCCGAAACGGCGTTCCATGTACAAAATTATGTTGGTAGAAAGTAGAAGCTGACATGCCAAACAGAGTAAAATCACTTCTACTTAAAGCAGAAGCTAAATTGTTAAAAGCAGCGCACTGCCAAACACCCTCTGAATCCCAAATCAAGGCGCATATTTCGCTAAAGAGCTCAAATCAAGTAGAGTTTAACTTTTTTATATCATTAACGCCATCATGTGTGCCTTCCGCATTTCTCCTTTTCCTCTTTGAAAATTCAGCATCATGTTAGTTTCAACTTTCTCTTCCTCATACAGGTAAATACCTTCTCCTTTTCTCTTTTAATTTTTAATATTATTGTTTAACACTAATTTTAATTTAAGTTGTTAAATTAAATACATAAAAAGTGATACATTAAAATCAAATTAAAAGTATAATAAAATTGATACATTAAACATTTGATCTACACAATTAAAAAACTAACTTAAAATTTATTTTAACAATCATTTTAATTAAAATAATTAAACTAACAAAGAGAAAATACAATTAAATAATATGAATTTTATCAAAAATCAAAATAAAAAATAAAAAAAGAAACTTTGAAAAAATTCAGAAAAATAAAATTTTAAAAATTGAAAAAAAAACTAAAATCTAAAAACTAAAAAAGGAAAAGAAGTAACAAAATAAAGAAAGAAGAAATAAGCAACAAAAAGGAGAAAGAAAAAAGGGAAAAAATGAAAATGCAAATCAGCTCTTCCTGCTCCCACACGGGGGGGGGGGTCCATTCCCTTCTCGCAGCCACATCGGCACCCCGTTCTCCTTTCTCGTGGGGCACCATAAGTCTAATGGCTATTTTACAATGTACTACACAATATCTATCCATACATATTTTTCTTAACCTATTAATGCATACGGAGTAACCGCCCCTACTAGGATTTTAACATGTAGAGTCATATTAGTGTCACTGGATTAGAAAGTCTTTTGTGTGTGATTTTTTATTGCTTTCTCTATCTCTAAATAATATTCTAGTTTTAGATTATAATATCTAACAGAAACTATTTTCAATCTAATCTACATACACATCGGTTAGATTAAAAAAAGAAATTTATATATCTAAAAAATGCTTCAAAAATTTAACAAAACAAGTGGCGACAAAATTATTTCACCCTATCAAATGATCAATAACAATAGGTGAAAAAGGTAAATATAGTTTAATTTTGTAAATAATAAAATAAAATAGAAAAATTTACTCTAAATAGGACTAAAGCATAAGTCATTTTTCCCAATGTAGAACTTAAACTTTTTTATTTTCTAAATAAGACTAAAGAATGTCTAATGAGAGAATTCGTTTCCAATGATAATAGACATTTACTTGAATAATAACTAATGAATAATGACTGATAGTCTCACATTTGATAATAAAAATATATGATTCTATATTGAGAAATTTATCATGTTTTAGTCTTATTTAAGTAAATTTTCCAATAAAATATTATTGTGAGAGAGAGAGAGAGATTATTAATTACTTTGAAAATCGATGTTGATTACGTTCAAAGTAGGTGGGCTCTAATTAGTGAGCCCGATCAATTCAATTCCCGCAATAGATTAGCATCCTAGACAAGCAAGCCTGCTTGAGGGAATTATTTTGTAGGCTGGTAACCCATTTAAAGTCCAATAAATACCGAGAAACGGAGGTAGCGGAGTAAGCAGCCCAACGGAAATCTCAATGGATCATTCCGTGGGCCGCGGCTAATCCATATCCCGGCAAGAATTGAATCCCTGCTGACCATGAAACACTCCGTACCTAAACGTTTTAGAAAATTGTTGATAAAAAATGTTTTGGAATATTTATTCAATGCCTAAAAAATACTCCTATTTTTTTTATCATTTTTATTTTAAGACTCAACTTTAAAAATGATAAGACTCAACTTTAATGTTAACTTTCATTTTGTTGTTCAGAACAGATCTCTATGTTAACCACTTGTTAGCAGCTTAACGACAACCTAAAACTTGTAAATTTCAATAAAATTTAGATTGTTATGCATTACAATAAAATGTTAAATTACTTTTGGAAAAACATGTAAAGTTAGATTGTCTTAGACATTTAATGAGAACATGTAAATAAAAATGTTATGAAAAGGTCATATAATAATAGGTGTGGAGGGAGAGACTATCACATTTATTTTGTTAAGATAAAGTAAAAAATCTCCGCATGAGGATGGACGGCAATTAAAATGGGCCCCCACAACAGCAGAGGGAATACGGTGTTCGTACAACGTGACCCATTCCAAAAGTGGACAATTGGTTCATCTCAGCTGTGGTTTGGGCCCAGTCGGATCCTTTATTGTACCATCACGTGCTGCCGGGTGTTTGTCCACGTGACTCCGGCCCCACGTATAACCAGACTTCTTCTAGTCCTAATTATAATTTGAATTTAATACTACTACCGTCTTAAAAGAGTATTATAGTTTGATTTTTTCTTTAAATTGTAGTATCATTTGACTACAAACTAAATATAGTTTAAAATAATTAATATTATAAAATAGTATATTTTAAATTATATTTTAAAATAAATTTGAATTTATTAAATTTACAGTATAACTAATATATCTTATCCTTAATTTATGTTCAAAAGGTGCCACAATTTGACTAAACAGGTTAAATTGTGATAACTTTTTAGGGGTGGAAGGAGTATTGACTAAAACTTACTTGGTTTTAAAATTTGATCTCAACTTTTTTCTAGTTTTATCTCGCATGATTTTAATCAAAGTTAATTTGTAGGAGGTATATATTTCGGATATGATTTGATCGTATTCCAGTACAAATAATTAGAAAGTAATACTCCACAATTACTTGTTAGGTAAATATTTCAAATTACCTCAAACTAAATGACAAAATCAATTTAAAATGTTTTATTGAATATATTTTTAATTTAAATGTTAGGTAATTTAGTTTATCTTATTCAATCAAAATGTTCAGAAATCAAATGTGATGTGATTGTATTATTTGGTGAAAAATGATATTTTATATGATAGTGAATTGTGGTTGGTTAATACACTGAAATGAAAGACAGGCGTATAATAAGATGCACTGTTAGTTTTTTTAAAATGTTTTGAATAGCAAAATCAATTTCTTTTGAAAACTACACTCATAAGAGAAAAAACCTTATTAAATCCACAACCATTTTCCCACACATCCATCCAAAGGCCATAATATGAACCGGTCTAAATATGAATATTCCTTCCAACAAAGTGTTGATTGTTATGGGAGATGTATGTTTCTTTATTGATAATAGCTCTCTTATATAGAGAAGAGCTTCGTAGGGTTTTACAAGAGAAGGCCCACGGGCCAGTACAACTGTATTACACAATATAAAGTAAATTTTTTCTACACAACAGCACACTAATAAACAAATTCCTTCAACACTCCCCCTTGTGCTGAGCTGTAGGTAGAATTGTAGAATCTTGATCTCTTGTCAAAATCTCGTCAAGTGTCAAAACCCTGTGAATAAAAATCTTGAACGAAGAAAAGAATACCGATCCTTACTTCGATCGCTATGTTCATGCATATTGTTACCTCATTAAAAACCTTACCAAGTAACAAATTAAAACCCAATGGGAAAAATAAACCTTGGTTTAAGGAAAAGAGTGTAACATAAAATAAAAGCTAGACCTTTGAATATTCAAATCTCCCCCTGAAGTGTACATGATCAAGGAAGATCTGAAAGTCTACGCATCCCAATATTTTTAACATGTTTCTCAAATGTGGCTTTAGGTAACGATTTGGTGAATAAATTTGTCACATTCTCCTCAGATCTTATTTGATTTACTTGGATCTTGAGGAGAGTTTGTTGTTGTTGATTATAGAAAAATTTGGGAGAAATATGTTTGGTGTTATCACCTTTGATAAATCCAAGTTTCATTTGCTCGATGCAAGCGGCATTATCCTCATAAATGCATGTGGGTTCTTCAGTGGTTGGTCTCAAACCACTAGCCTCGCGAATGTGTGTAATGATAGTTCTTAACCATATACACTCGCGAACTGCCTCATGTAGAGCTATTATCTCTGAGTGGTTTGATGAGGTGGCTACTAGAGTTTGCTTAGTTGACCTCCACGATATTGCAGTGTTACCAACTGTGAATACATAATCAGTTTGGGAACGACCCTTGTGTGGATCAGATAAATATCCTGCATCAGCATACCCAATTAGTACATCATTTGGTGTTCCTAGATTTGAGGATGAACTTCCTTTTTCAACCATTTTCTTAGAATTCACAGTTTTCTTTGTCCCTTTGTATGGAAAGAATAGTCCCATATCACTGGTTCCCTTTAAATACCTCAAAATATTTTTGATACCGTTCCAGTGACGTTGCGTTGGCGCAGAGCTAAATCTAGCTAACAAGTTTACTGAGAATGCTATATCCGGCCGAGTACATTGAGCTAGGTACAATAATGCACCTATGGCACTTAAGTATGGAATTTCAGCTCCTAATACCTCTTCATCCTCTTCCTTTGGACGAAATGGATCTTTTTTAGGATCTAAGCTTCGGCCGACCATGGGAGTGCTAGCAGTATGCGCTTTGTCCATGTTAAATCGCCTGAGTACCTTTTGGACATACGTAGACTGGTGGATTAATATCCCACCAACTCGATGTTCTAGTTCAAGGCCTAAACAAAAACGAGTTTTCCCAAGGTCCTTCATCTCAAATTCATATTTCAAATAATTTGCAGTTTCTCTTATTTCATCAAGAGTGCCTATTATGTTCATATCATCAACATAAACGGCTACAATTGCAAATCCAGAACTTGCTTTCTTTATAAATATGCAGGGACATATTTCATCGTTCTTATATCTCTCTTTAATCAAGTAATCACTTAGGTGGGTATACCACATCCTACCGGATTGTTTCAAACCATAAAGAGAGCGTTTTAGTCTGATTGCAAACGCACTCCGTGGTTTAGAGTCACTTGATTTGGGTAAGGGAACACCATCTGGTACTTTCATGTATATCTCAGAATCAAGATCCCCATAGAGATATGCAGTAACCACATCCATAAGATGCATTTCCAATTCTTCGGAAACTGCTAAGCTCACCAAGTACCTAAATGTTATAACGTCCATTACAGGGGAGTATGTCTCCTCATAATCAATTCCAGGGCGTTGTGAGAAACCTTGCGCCACTAGGCGAGCCTTATATCTTAAGACTTCATTCTTCTCGTTACGTTTCCTGACAAATACCCATTTATGTCCTACAGGCTTTACACTTGGAGGGGTTAGCACTACCGGACCAAATACCTGTCTTTTTGCCAAGGAANATTTCTTTATTCTCTTGAATCATATCAAACATCGGAGCGTCCTCCAGTAATGATTCATGGACATAACTATAATCAGAGATAATCTCATGGGATGGATGTTCAACATCGATGTGTAACGGATTAGTTTGTGCCGCACTCGTCCTTTTCTTCCTTGGATGAGTGTCAATCGAACCAAGTGGCCTTCCTCTCTTCCTTTGAGGAGCCAATGCCTCACCCACACTTCCACTCGCTGTGGATGTAATGCCTGTCATTACGGCGTTTTTCCTTTTAGTTGGGACTTCTAACCTTGCAGGTGCATTTGCAGCAGGTATGTGTGATCTTGTCACTTTAGCAATATCAGTAAATGAATTGGGCATCGAATTTGCCACGTTTTGAAGATCAATTATTCTTTTCACTTCGCTTTCACAATGTGAAGTACGGGGATCGAAATGAGACAGTGTGGGGACACACCAAGATATTTCCTGTTGTTCGCTTGGAGAGTTTTTCTTATCTCCCCCTAACGACGGGAAATCTGTCTCATCAAAGTGACAATCTGCAAATCTAGCAGTAAAAAGATCACCTGTCAAAGGTTCTATATAGCGAATAATGGTTGGGGATTCATATCCAACATAAATACTTAATCGTCTTTGAGGACCCATTTTAGTGCGCTGTGGGGGCGCAATCTGCACATACACTGCACAACCAAATATCCGTAAGTGTGAAATGTCAGGCTCATAACCAGTCACCAACTGGTATGCAGAGAATGATTGTGAAGCAGTGGATCTCAAGCGAATAAGTAAAGCTGCATGCAATATGGCATGACCCCATGCAGATGTGGGCAAATTAGAACGCATAATCAATGCCCGAGCTACCATTTGTAGTCTTTTAATGGTTGCTTCTGCAAGGCCATTTTGCGTGTGTACATGGGGAATAGAATGCTCTACATCGATCCCGATGGCCATGCAATAATCATCAAAGTTCTTAGATGTAAATTGTAATACCCTAATCCGTCCAGGTCTGCAGCCCCATTCGGACTAAAGTATTTAACTTGGCAATCGTAAAAAATTAAAACTTTTCAAACACACTTTATTAATCTCAATAATATTTTTCATAACATATACAGTACGGAGTATTTAACAATATTGCGGAAGCGAATTTAATATTGACATATCATAAATCATTTCAAACTTGTCACATCCATCCCGACAATCTCGCCCCATCTGCCGTCAGGATCACATTAATCTTTCTGTTTACCTGCGTGTAGCAAATAAAACATACTACACGCTCAGCGGTGAAGCTGAGTAAGCATATCTAAAACGTCGAACATCCACATAAAATGAATCTCAATTCATAATCAACCATTTGATATCATGCACACAATATATGGTTCAAACATTCAAAATATTTTCAATATTTTATTCCAAGTCATTTGATATTCAATATATATCAATAATGCTCTTAAATTATTCTTAATCTAAGGCCACATCATTTTATATTCAGCTCTTAGCTATTCCTAGTCTAAGGCAGTAATTCTAACCAGGCCCTTAAACTATAAATAGTTTAATGCAGAACACAAGAATCGATAATCCACCCTATGAGTCATGTGGATTACGTACCAACCGAACA